CAGCTGGTTCAAACGCAGACTGTCACTCTGGTCCCCTGAGCAAGAGCCCTAAACCCAAACTGCTCCACTAGAGCAAATTTTCCCACTATGGGAATAAAAAGGAATCTCTTTCCTGTTATTCGCTTGTATTTATTTTTATATTCAGATCATATATTAGTTTTATACATATGTAATCTTTCTGCCAGGATCCATGAAGGCAGATTTGGCTGCTGGCCCTCTGTTGTCAATCTGTCATGTTAAATCTGACTGTAAGGACAGCCACCATGAGGGGTCAGTAGTAAGGATGATGGCTAAGGATCCTAATATACTTCCAAACAGCTAATGGTATGCATGCTGTCAGGATACATATTACAGCATGATATATCTTTGAAGATAAACTCATAGATGTGTTTAATGGATCTTCTTAGTCCCAAAGTCCCTTATTGACGGTACAGCCTGGGCTGCAAGGAGGGAGATATGCATGTGGAAAGGACGAGCAGATTCTAAGTATTTGAGACTGATGTTTCTTGACGTCTCCATCTTGGAGTAGGGGCATGCTGTAAAGCTGCATGATTTATAGTTACCATCAGTGGTGGAGTGGTGGTTCTACACTTAATTTACCAGTCGAAAGACTAGAGTTTATGTTTTTGCCTTGTTTTTATTTATTTTAGTTATGGAGGCACAGAGAATACTAATACAATGAACAGGGCAATAGTTCATTGTTTGTTATTGCATTTCGCCTGACTTACAGCTCTGGAGACCATATATAGCAATAGATGCTGAATGCCTTTGTTTTTCAGGAAGGAAGGAAGGACTGATCTGTAAGATCAAGGATTCCTGCCACATTAATGAAGAACTGGCCAATCAGAGTTAGACCAATCAGATGTCTGTGCCTGGTTTCTGATCCATCAATGCCCATTTTTTTTCTGTCCTTCTTTCTTCTTAGATAGCTCCTTTCTCATTTTATAATATCCGGCTTTAGGTCATTTTTAGCTTCCATGCAGAAGAGTTATCTGGCTAGGACAATCTTTTAGTGTCTGAGTAAGACATGTTCAAAGATAGGGGAAACACTCCAGTTGCTGGTTGGACCAGGCAGTGAACCAGGTATCGGTGAATCTCTAACCTCAGACCATAACACCTCCACCACAGACCTGAACCAGACATCCCTTTTTCTGCAAGGGCATATTAACCTTGTGCTTCTGGATCATTCTTCATGTGGACTCTTCAGACCACATAAGATAAATTCAAAATCCTAGCTGACCTTTGCATCGTGCACGTAGAACTGTTCTGACCCACAAAGACATTTCACTGTGGGATTACTATTATTATTGTTCTTAAATCAGTTTGGCGAATGATCCCAGTTCTGATCATGGAGGGTTGTCTTTTAACCTTATGCCCTTTTTAAAGATGAATAATTGTTCATCATGTAAAAAGGGGATTAAAGCTACTTTAGAAAAATGTTTTGGTTCTTAATCATTTAGGTGAAGTAGAGTTTAACCTTTCAGAATAATAGAGTAATAATCTAAAAAACAGAAAGCTGCTGACTGACGGTCTGTTTTCTGTCATTCCCGTTTAAAAAAAGGAGCAAAAGCTGCCGAGATCACATTTGAGATCCAGCCAATGGGGAGATCTCCGGGCCATCACCGTGTCCCCCTAGAAACACGGCCCACCTGTGATATTGTAGACAGCGGGAAGCACCAAGGAGCCGCTGATAATGGCTCACTAGGGTCTTTCACTGGTGAACTTGTTTGTGTGCCTTCTCACCACTTATCCTGTGGGAGAAAGCTAGGCCTCTGGGTGAGAAGGGGGGACAGCGGATCGCTGACAGGGACATCTGGTGCTAGCGCTGATTAAGGAAACTGTAGCTTACTGCATTGGCTTATTCTAACTTCTTCTGATTGGACTTCAGTCTTTTTCTGTTTCCAGCTGGAGGCCAACTACCAGTTAATTACTGCAGGAGAAAATGTCATCTGTGTACAGAGAGCTGTGACTCCATGAAGCATAAAATGACTAAGATAGAGCTGAATCTCGTAGCAGATAGAGATGTACCTTCCTGCTTTTAAATTTCTCTCTTTTTACATACACGATAATATGCAATATAAGCTCAACTTTGTTGAGAATTTGTCGGGGGGGGGGGGGGGGGGGGGGGGGGGGGGGGGGGAAACGGATGTGTGAATAATTTCCGTAGGGGCCGCGTCAGTTTCTTCTCTCCAGACCTCCTGTCTGAAAGAGATGATAAACGACTTTTTTCATGGTCCGTGATTCTCATATGAACCTTAGCTATCAGCCATCAGTTATAAAACTGAAAATGTCAGACTATTGTGTGAAACAGAAAGGCAACCCTAAGTGGGATTAGTCACTGTAAACCATTAGCATGTGAAATGGCTTCTTTTCACGTTTTTCTTTCCCTGCATCCAGGCTTGTCAAATCTGATATCTGCCCAGATGTAGTGGCAGCTTTTCATGCCAAAATAAGAGCTTTTAGTAAACACAGACAAAATGCAATTAAAGAAACACAAAAACAACCTCTGTCTGCACAGATATGTTTTTATAAAGGTTCCTACAGAGATAGAAATATGCCGATATTTTAAAACTCATGTAGCCGATAACCGATATCGATACCGATGTTAAAGCTGGACAAAAATAAGTAGTCATTGAAAATAGCAGTTTTGTTATCCATTTCTGACACTTTGAAAAATAATATACTCAAATATATTTTCATATGCTGATATCAAATTGATTTTTAAAAACGCGGTATCGATCTGTTTTACTTTCAAAATCTCGTGAAATTTCATCGTTCTGTTACAAACTCTCGTGATATTTTGCAAATTCTTGTGAGATTTTGTTAGTAAAATAGATCGATACCGCGTCAATATATCAACATATAAAAATATGGCAAAATTTCGTGAATTTTCGGGGGATTTCGTAGCATAACGATGACATATAGCAATATTTCATTAGTAAAAGAGATTGATATGGTGTTTTTAAATGGCAATATATCAGCATATGAAGATATTGTGATATTTTAATGTATCAATATTTTTTCCCTCGTCTTTAGAAGTTTTTTAGTCTGTAAAATAGAAGTTTTTGAGGAAGAAGAAGAAGTAGTATTTTATTTTTTTTTTAGACTTTAGAAACTCAGAAGCTGATCAAATATCGGGTTAAATATCGGTGGGGTGGCCGATGTCCGATATTCAGTTTTAAGGCCGATACAGGCCGATACCGATAGGGGGCCGATTATATCGTGCATCCCTAATGTAAATCATTTAAAAATCAGCTTTGTTTAGTTAGTAGCTGATTAACCAGATCATAATGGGTTACAATCTGGTTAACAGAAGCAAATACATCATAATATAAATATCCAAAAAAGATATTGCCGATTGCAAAACGGGCATACAACTGGAAAGAACTGTCCTGCCAAACAATTTAGAACCTTGTTATAAGAAAACAATGCAATGCTGAAATTAATTCCTTATATCTAAGTATTTATAAACATTTATAGTTTTTTTTTATTTTTTTTATATATCTTTATATTTCGATTCCGACTAATGCAGACTAATTTTGCAAACATGTTGGGTATGCAGTGTAACTGTTGAAAAGTCAGGAAAGCAACCGGGTTTGTGGCACTGCTGCTTTGCAGCATGGAGATTGTGGGTTTAATTCCCTTCTGTGTGGAAAATCTTTCATTTTATGGTGTTGAGTAGATGTAACCTAATTTCTCCTGGGTTTTTAATGGCTTTTAAGATCTTATGAATAGAATTTCAGCAATTTTGTGAAATGTACTGAACCAAACTGAGTATAAATTCTTATCTTCATTTTTCTGGGTACATTTATTGGTTCTTTGCAATGCAGTGTATCATTTAGTTATTTTTTTTTTCAGTTTAAAAGTATTAGAAACAACTGTTTTGTGTTTTTTTTGCTGTTTGTTTTTTAAATTATGTTTCATTAAATACTATAGAAATGTGGAGAGCAGTTGGAAAGAAATCTGTTCTTGTTCTTATTAATAAAGTGCGTCCAGCAGGCGGAGGTATTTGTGATGTCATACAGATTAGGTTAAAAAAATGTATATGCTCTTAATGTTAGTATGCCAAAAAAAGGAACTGCATTTGGTTTTTCTATATTGTTTCATGAAATGAACTACAGTGTGATGCATTTGCACTTTGGCTTTAATAATCAGAATGTAACTTGGATATTCTTCTGATTTCAATGTAAAATGATTACTTTATAAGTTTATTTTTGATGTAGATGCACCTTATAAGTTTTTCCCGGGCACAAATGCTGCTCAGAAATCTGAAAAACCTGATCTTCTTCTTTAAAAAGCTGGTCTAATATCTTGTTATTTATAGAGAACAACGTCCAGCAGTTTTTCTTAATATTTTTAAGGTAAAACCCTTTTTTGTTTTGTTTTTAGTATCATATTCCAAAAATATCAACATCCCTCAGAGAAAGAAGTGTCCATCTTTGTTTTCAGTAACACTATTGTCTTAGTTTGCTGGTTAGAAAGTTTGCTTTGAAATTGTTTTTACCACACGTTTTTGAACCCGTTCAAATTTGTTGATCTGGATCATGATCCACAGCTCCTTCTGTTGTTTCGTCTGAAAATCTGAAAATAAAATGGTGCTTCTTTAAAAAATAACAAAACATAAAATAATTTAAAGGCCATTAAGTTGAAAATTGGGGGAAAAATATGTCTCTACACTGTAAAGTTGTAACCTGCTGGTTTAGTTTAAAGAATGTTCATTTTTGGCCTAGTCAAAGCACAGACCTCTACTTGAAAATTATGTTATGACCTCTAGATAAAGAACATATGAAGAAGGATAAAATGTAATGTAAAACATAATGTAAAAACTAAAAGTAGATTTTAAAATGGTTAGAAAATAATCAGCCAAAATTGCTGAAGATGGGTGCATCACATAAAAAATGACAAGCTGCTTTTTGGTCACGTTAAAGTTTAAACAATAAACAAGAATCATTCTTAAATGATTACCTTTAGCTAAAGGCTTCTCTTGTGTCCCCTGGCAGCTCTCTCCTATAGCTGAGCCCCTCGCTGCCCTCTGAAGGAGCAGGATGACAAGATGGCACAGCTGCTTGTACCGCCCGGACCAGACAGCTTCCGCCCCTTCGTCCCCGAGTCGCTGGCCGCCATCGAGAGGCGCATCGCCGAGGAGGAGGCCCGGCGACCGCGGGCGGAGCGTCGCAGCGACGACGACGATGAAAATGGGCCCAAGCCCAACAGCGACCTGGAGGCAGGGAAATCTCTGCCCTTCATCTACGGGGACATTCCTCCAGGAATGGTGTCGACCCCTCTGGAGGACCTGGACCCCTATTACAGCAACCAGAAGGTCTGTTTCAGGGTTTTAAACTATCTGAAAGAGAAACGGTTAAATAGATTGTAGCTCTATACTCTCTGCACCTCCTCTCTGCATTCATGCAGCAAAGCCAGGAGGCGATTGTTCTGTGGTGTCCAGGAAGCTCAGGATGCTTTAATGGAGCCTTCATCTTGTTTGTTGCGACTCTCCATTGCAATCATCCAGCAAATCTTTGGACTTTAAATCAGCCCTGTTTGTCAGCACAGTGACGCAGTGGATTTTAGCAGTGTGGGCTGAAGCCAGGTCCTGCAGGATAAATAAATTAGCATCACTATGCAGCTTGTTGGCAGATGGAAACATTTGGACGTCATGAAACAGAATTGAGCGACTCATCAGCGGATGAAATGGCACCAAAAAAACCCCAACTAACTTCACACTGGATCTCAAGCAGCTTGGATTCTGACCTCCTAATAAAACAAACCCATCCGATCTCATATGGTTAGCTTAGGCTAGATTGAAGCTACCGAGGACCATCCTAAACCTGGCTCCATTTCCAATGAAAAAAAGCCAGCATAGCTTTCACGCTGCTGTCCTCAGCCACTAAGTGCTGCTGAAAACCTTGTATTTCTTAACCTTTAACACATTCAGACACCATAACAACATGTTCACTAGCAGAGGTGAAAATTGGAGCTGTGTGGGTGTCACATGAAGGTTAAAACCATGCTAAGTGGAAATAAACAGATGTTACTTCAGCTTTAATACCACACAATGCAGCAATGAAATAAGTTCCTAAATTTCTCTTTGAGACAGCGCCTTCCTTCAGCACCATAAAAAAAAATATAGTAAATATAAACATTGAGGATCATTTTTCATCAATTTTTTCAGGGTTAGTTTGATTAGTTTCTACTCCAATCAACATCTGACTGCTAAATCCTTGAGTAATAAGAGTGTCAAATTCATCTATAACAACTTTAACTTTTGTCTATTTGACGAAACCTCTCTGGACTTCCTTGCCATGATGATGACTATGATTGCGAAGGTGGTGCTACAGAAAGGGGAGGAGCTTAATGTCTGCTTACATTTCTGTTTGTATTGATTAGATTTAAACAAGTATCTAAATATCAATGGAAGTAAGGTGCATGATTATAACCAAAAAAACTGGTACAACTATAATGTATCCGTAGTATCTGGGCTCCTAAAAGTTAGTGTTTAGCATGAGCTACTACAATGTTTTATACGATGCCTATCTGAAGCTTTTTCTGTTGTTTTTTTGTCTTTCAGACCTTCATAGTATTGAATCGCGGGAAGGCAATCTTCCGTTTCAATGCCACTTCTGCCTTGTACATCCTAAACCCCTTCAACCCTCTGAGGAGGATAGCTATCAAAGTTTTAGTGCACTCATATCCTTTCAGGGTGGCGCTGGATGGGGCCTGGTTTGGATTAAAGGGTTTAACAGATAAAAGAGGGAATTAAAGGAGCTGCTGATGAAGGCTAAATATATGGCTAAGCCTTTTCTTTTTTGATCTGCTTGGTGTCCATCTCTAAGATACAGACGGAGGGGGAGTTTTTTTCCTGTTTTGGTTGTCCTTTTTTGGCGGTTTCCTTAACTCTGTTGCTACGATGTTTAGCATGTTGATCATGTTCACCATTCTGACCAACTGTGCTTTCATGACCCTGAGCAACCCGCCGGAATGGGCAAAGAATGTAGAGTAAGTACACCAACGTTACCTTTGAGGTTCATTTGTCTAGTAACAAACAAAAACAAGCACATTTTGTGAGGAGCGGAAGGTATGTGGCATGCAAAGTTTGCATGTTCCAGATAAAAAATAAGAGAAAAATGTATAAGCACTTCCTGTTAGTCAGCATTATACTGCAGATTCCCATTAAAAACAGTAAAGTTCGTGGTTCCAATCCTCTTCTCAAAGCCAATCTTCCTCTCTGTGTGTTTTCATTTCCTCTCCCCCTCCCTCCCAGGTACACATTCACAGGGATTTACACCTTTGAGTCTCTAATAAAGATCCTGGCCAGGGGGTTTTGTGTGGGGAAGTTCACTTTTCTGCGGGACCCGTGGAACTGGCTGGATTTCAGCGTCATACTTATGGCGTAAGTATGACCTCATGTGTTGTCAGAATCCTCTTGTAATGACCTGGAAAACTGTTTAGCCTGTTAGAGTCCCCAGCATGAGACAAACCAAGTATGGAGAGATGTAATCTGAAGTTTAGTAGTGAGCGTTTAGAAAGCATTGCCAGGAATCGAAGATGCCCTTCATGGATGCGATCCCCCCAAGGAACATTACTCCGCCCAAATTTGGGTCAATGCATCCAGCTACATGTCTTTAAAGTGCATGATGACGATAGAGTGCATGCTCTAAAGATGTTTTGATCGTATTTTGTTGTAGAGACGCACCGATCAGATTGTTGTGGCTGATTTTAATACTTAATTAAGCCATTGCTGATTTTTTTTTTTATTTTTTTAGAAGGCTTTAAAATGCTATTAGTTAGCAGATGCATCTTTCTTACCTCAGTAACAACAACCACACCAAACAGTGTTGCTCCATGACCTGGCACTGCTTACTGTAGGTTTGCAGGATTTAGAAGTTTTTCCAAGCTGAGAAATTCTCCAAATTTAGCGAGCAGATGATTTTTTTTTTTTTTTTTTTGTGGTGCATCTGAATTTGAATTTCTGACGCCCTGTTAGAGGATGGGTGATTTCCCACATGTGACTCACTGAGCAGTAGGTTTTGGTCTGCAATGCTCTGTAGTAACTGTGCATTTAATCCTGCAGGTATATAACAGAGTTTGTAAACCTAGGCAATGTTTCAGCTCTGCGCACATTCAGAGTTTTGCGAGCTTTGAAAACTATCTCAGTTATACCAGGTAAGGGCGCCTGCTGCCAGCACTCCTGCCGTTTGTCCTCTGTGTGTGACCGTTTGCCGTCCCCCCCCCCCTTTCCCTTCCTCACCCTCCCCTTCCCGTAACCCCTCCTTGTTGTCTCGTCACGCCTCGTGTGTGGATGTCTGATCTGTGAATGCTCGTGTGTATGTGGGTGCGTGTTCCACACCTCCCCCCCCCCCCTTCCAAAATCCCTTCCCACCCCCTCCTCGAATACCACCCCTCCCCTCCCCTCCCCCATCCCTGCATTCCCTTACAGATATGTCACAGAGTTTGTGGACCTGGGCAATGTCTCAGCACTGCGAACCTTCAGGGTTCTGAGAGCCCTGAAAACAATATCAGTCATCCCAGGTGAGACGGCCATCAAGGCCTATAGGGTTAACATAACGCTAATGGCTAACTGGCATTCCGCTAACATCAAAAACCCATGCCCCCTCCCCCCCCTCTCAGCTCATCTCACAGTAGCTAAGCCTGACGACGCTAGTCGCCGTCCCTCATGCTGCCTTCGTCCCAAGGCCAGTAAAAGCTGGAATCTGTCTCCAATCTGCAGAGATTGACAAGATTCTGGGCTTTTAAAAACATCCTTTAAGGCAGAATCCTTTTTGGTTGAAATCTATTCTTGCCTTGGGAGCCTTTACAAGTAGTTTTGCACTATTTATTTTGTTTTCCTTTTTGCATGAGACATTGCAAAAGCCGATTTTCTTGTGGCAAGCTCTTGTGTGTGTGTGTGTAGGTTTCCTCCTTACCTTGTTTTCCCGTGCATGTGTCGTTCAGTGTTGTGCGTGTTTTGTGGTGAAAACACCTGGTTAGTGGTGAGCAATGCTAATTGAACACCACTGTAATTCACATCACAAACACAAAGATTTTTTTCATACAGTCCAAACAACATTCATCAACTTGGAGCTCCTATAATTTGAGGTCTTCTGTATCTTTCAGGTTAAATGTTTGCAATACCTGCACATTTTAAAGTTTAAATTCACTTAAGGTTTATTTAATCCACACAGGATCAGAATTATAAATGGATAAGCAAAAAAAAAAAAAATACACTATGTGTTTAGACAAGTTGCAGATAAAATACAAAGAGAAATCATCGTCAAGCAGGATTTATTAAAGTCGGTTGGTTTGCTTTTTCAGACTAGGCTTTCTGTAAGGTTAGGCTGCACCAAGTTTTGAATAATTGCTCAATTTGATGATCCAAAATGAGAACTGAATCATGTTTTAACCCTCTGTTTGTCTAACTGGAGGTAAAGTTAGAGAATCTGAAGAGTTTTCCTCCTCTTTTTCCTAATTTCCTCAACATGATGCCACCACCAGCATATTGGACTGTTTGGTTGGCCCCAAATCTCACATTTCCACAGCTTGTTCCTTTTACTGGAGTTTAGTGCAGGGATGTGGAACCTGCGGCTTCTGGCTCTTAATCGTGGCTAAAAATGATTTAAAGAACTAACTCATGTACTATATTAACAAATAACAGTCTTAAAGGCAAAGTGGTTTTTATAAAGGATATTTCAATTGATTTTCTCAACAGACCATCCTAAAAAAAGCAGAAATATGCTTCCAGAGCCATTTTCTTTTAGTTTGCTTAGAAATTATGTGTTTTATTCTAATTTTAAAAGCTAAAATTATAAATAAACTGCTGGTTTCTTAATATGGCAACAGCTTTCCTATAGGAGATAATTAACAAAAATAATAGGTTGACATATTCAATTCAGTTCAGTTTGTTTATTTAGCGCCAATTCACAACGCTTGTCATCTAAAGGCACTCTATAGAGACAATTCAACCAGATCATGCAGTCAAATTGCTTAAAAGTTTTCTACCTAAGGAAAACCAGCTGATTGCATGCATGTAGAGACAGTGGAGAGGAAAAACTCCCTTTTAACAGGAAGAAACTTCCAGTAGAACCAGGCTCAGTGTGAGAGATACAAAAAGGCAAAGTCATGTAATATTTTGCTTTTCTAAATGACTTTTACTGGCTGGAGTCATTGTTTCAAAATGGCTCTTTGGATATCAAAGGTTACAGACCGCTGGCTTAGAGTGTCTCAGTTCTTTTCCCCCTGGATCCACACTGCAGCTAAGTAGTTTGCTAAAGTATGTTACCCAAAATTCGGTGGTGCGTGTGATGTATTGAGAAAAAAAGGTGAAAGCATTTTTCGCAAAATCATTTTGTTTTTGTATTTTCTGGTGGCGATTTTAATGGAATAGTTTATTTTGGTTAACAAGCATAGAATGGTTAAATTTACATTCCCAAACAAAAGTAACTGAAAATCCAAAGCTTTTTTGTGCCCAGCCCTCAGTAAATATCAAATTAATTAATCTTCTACTATATGTGTGAAACCAAAATAGTTTTTTTGTTGCGATTTCAATAGTGAAATCGTTTTTTTTTAAGAAGGAAGATTGGAAAAACAATTAGGGGTTATTGGTGCAGAGGCGCAAGTAGGTGCACTTCTACCCAGGGCGTGCTTCATAGAGGGACGTAGGGGGCAGGGGGGGTCTTGCGTTTTAGTTCGAAAGCTAAACCTGCTCGATTTTCCAGTCTGGCTTTTTGACCATCCTTCCTATCAGAAAAGTCGGATCTCATTCAACCTTTCTCATTTAGAGCGTAATGGCAGAGCAGTGGAAGACAATTCAAGAAGCCTTAAATTAATTCAAATATGTCTTGTTTCTGCCCTCTGGTCTGAGCTGCTCCCCTTGTGATTAAATGAAATTCATTGAGTCGTTCTGGAACAATTTAAGAACCTTCAGCCATAAAAAAAATCTCCTGAAACAAACAATGAGGCTAATTTGACATCAACGAAAGTTAATAAAAGAAGAAGGAAGCATTGTTGAGAAACATTGATGGAAAATGCAAATTATTTTTAGATATTTTTACAATTTACAACAAGACAAAACAGTCATCGTTGCACGATACAAAAGATACAATTTGCTAAAAGGCATTTTTTTTTTAAAGAAAAGTGTGGAAGCTTTAATAAGGTTTGATTTAGATGCAATGTGGTATACAGTAAACCCTGAAATAGAACAGCTCAAATATTTGTAAAAATCTCCTAATTAAAGAAGTTCTTGTCTAACCTTTTGACTAACGATTGATACCAGATGTTAAAACTAGCTTGACTGTGTGAGTCAAGAAGAGAAAAGTGCATTCAGAGGTTCACAGATGCAAGAAATCTGACCTAAATTTGAAAAGCTGCACGAGTAAAAGGATGCTTTTGCAAGATATGATATGATGCTTGCTTGAGTAGTTTGGATTTAGTTAGTGAGGAAAGCCAGGGATGTTCGGACATAGAAATAGGAGGAGGGATGGTGTATATCATGGAGATGAACCCAGATTTATGTAGCAGCTGATTTCTGTCAATCAAACATCTTAATTTTTGAGCTGGTGTTTTCCCTCTAACATCTAGGGAACTAGTAGACTTCTCTTTGCATAAAGGATCTAGTCCTTCTTGTTTAACCTCTTAACATCCACCTCATTTTGGGTAACCCTCGCCTCGCATACCCTAATGGAAAAGCAAATAACTTAGGAACTGTAAGCCCAAATTACATGTGTGATACATTATTTGAAAGCTAACACCCTTTAGTTTCCTAATATATAAATTAAAATTGGGTGACTAGAACACGGACCAAGCTGCATCAGTTCAAACATAACTCAAATTGTTGTTTTTTTTATTCTCGGAAATGATAGGTTTTTTTTGAACAGCAGTAATAAAGACATTCTTGATTTTTTTCTTATTATATTTGTTCTACATCATGTCAACCACAAATGCAGAAAATTTTAGCCCTCTAGCTATAACAGTTCCAGAGCTGTGGGCCTTTGAACTTTTGGTGTCAGCTTGGAGCTGCGCTCAATGGCTCCACCTGCTAGTAAAAAATTTACCTGCAGGTGGAATTATTACCCCCACTTAAAGTCGACCCGGTGGGTTTTAAGAGGTTAAATAAAGCAAATATGGTCTGTAAGTTCTGCTAAAGAGCTGACATGAAGGCTAGGATAGATTCTCTTGGATTTTGTATTTGTATCAGAACAAACCGCAAACCGAGCAAACTGCCAAACCGCAGCCAATCCCATGTTAGTCCCTAAACATCTGTGACAGAATATAGATAATTTAACAAATGAAAAAAAGATGAACAATAACAAGTTTCACATAAACTCTACCTTTTCCAGCTGCAGGCAACAGAAACACAAACATATTTCTTTCACTTTTTCACGCTGCAACTACAAACCTCAGTGTAATTTATTGGGATCTTGTTTAATAGGTCGACACAAAACATGTGCATATAATGCAAGGGAATGTAACATAGATTCATTCTAGGTTTATTTTACAAATCTATCTGAACAAGGGTGTGTGTTTGTATTTATTTATCTGCATTTATTTGCAGCTTTGTGAGACTTAGTGTTATTTTAGATGAAGGATTGAATGGAGCTCCATGAGATGCTCAAAGTTTTACAGCCCAACTATCTTCTCTCTGACCTGTCTCCTGGGTAACTTAGGCTATTGACGCTGTTTGGTCTCTTTTCTACGGTGGCCCTGAAGTGCAAAGTGCAACTACAAATCTAAAAGCGCAACTACATTAAGGAAATCGCAACTACATAAAGCAAAGCACAACTACATTAAGGAAAACACAATTACATTAACCTACCGGAAAAGGTAGGTACCAATCAGCGATGTCTCATGTTTCCCACTGGTACCTACAGATTTGTACAGGTGCTGGTCATAAAATTAGAATATCATGAAAAAGTAGATTGATTTCAGTAATTCCATTTAAAAAGTGAAACTTGTATATTATATTCATACATTACATACAAACTCATATATTTCAGATGTTTATTTTGTTTAATTTTGATGATTACAAATGACAACAAATGAAAATCTCAAATTCATCATATCAGAAAATTAGAATATTGTGAAAAGGTTCAAAATTGATGGCCCCTGGTGCCACACTCTAATCAGCTAATGAACTCAAACCACCTGCAAAAGCCTTTAAATGGTCTTTCAGTCTAGTTCTATAGGCTACACAATCATGGGGAAGACTGCTGACTTGACAGTTGTCCAAAAGACGACCATCGACACCTTGCACAAGGAGGGCAAGACACAAAAGGTCATCGCTAAAGAGGCTGGCTGTTCACAGAGCTCAGTGTCCAAGCACATTAATAGAGAGGCGAAGGGAAGGAAAAGATGTGGTCGAAAAAAGTGTACAAGCAAGAGAGATAACCGCACCCTGGAGAGGATTGTGAAACAAAACCCATTCAAAAATGTGGGGGAGATTCACAAAGAGTGGACTGCAGCTGGAGTGAGTGCTTTAAGAACCACCACACACAGACGTATGAAAGACATGGGTTTCTGCTGTCGCATTCCTTGTGTCAAGCCACTCTTGAACCACAGACAGCGTCAGAAGCGTCTTGCCTGGGCTAAAGAGAAACAGGACTGGACTGCTGGTGAGTGGTCCAAAGTCATGTTCTCTGATGAAAGTAAATTTTGCATTTCCTTTGGAAATCAAGGTCCCAGAGTCTGGAGGAAAAGAAGAGAGGCACTTCATCCACGTTGCTTGAAGTCCAGTGTAAAGTTTCCACAGTCAGTGATGGTTTGGGGTGCCATGTCATCTGCTGGTGTTGGTCCATTGTGTTTTCTGAGGTCCAGGGTCAACGCAGCCACATACCAGGAAGTTTTAGAGCACTTCATGCTTCCTGCAGCTGACCAACTTTTTGGAGATGCAGATTTCATTTTCCAACAGGACTTGGCACCTGCACACAGTGCCAAAGCTACCAGTACCTGGTTGAAGGACCATGGTATCCCTGTTCTTAATTGGCCAGCAAACTCTCCTGACCTTAACCCCATAGAAAATCTATGGGGTATTGTGAAGAAGAAGATGCAATACACCAGACCCAACAATTCAGAAGAGCTAAAAGCCACTATTAGAGCAACCTGGGCTATCATAACACCTGAGCAGTGCCACAGACTGATCGACTCCATGCCACGCCGCATTGCTGCAGTAATACAGGCCAAAGGAGGCCCAACTAAATACTGAGTGCTGTACATGCTCATACTTTTCATGTTCATACTTTTCAGTTGGCCAACATTTCTATAAATCCTTTGTTTTTATTGGTCTTCAGTAATATTCTAATTTTCTGATATGATGAATTTGAGATTTTCATTTGTTGTCATTTGTAATCATCAAAATTAAACAAAATAAACATCGGAAATATATGAGTTTGTATCTAATGTATGAATATAATATACAAGTTTCACTTTTTAAATGGAATTACTGAAATCAATCTACTTTTTCATGATATTCTAATTTTATGACCAGCACCTGTAGTTGCAGTTTGCACTTCAGGGCCACCGTACTTTTCTGAGGCCTTTATAGAACAGTTTTGTAATCTGATTAAAATAATTTATTTAAAAAAATCAGTTAATCCTAAATTTTTATTTAGGGTTATCAGTGAAAAACATTCGTAAACCTTCCATCCCATATTGCCTAAACTAGACTATGCGATGCTTTGTGTCTGCCTATCACATTAAAACTCAATAAAACACTTTACATTGTGTTGTGTCACACATATAAAATCCATGTTTTGTGACTTTTGCAGCTAAAAACACCTGATGTTAAAAGTTAAACTCAGTTTTCTAAGTGAATTCCTTGGAAAACGTTTCAATCTGTGTTTTTGTTTTTTTTCTGATCCAGCTGTTAGTAACAGGCACTAATCGTTGTGTGATCTCCCTCCTCCTGCCCCCCCCCCCCCCCCCACCCCCCCCCCCCCCCACCCACCCCCCCGAAGGCCTGAAGACCATAGTCGGCGCTCTGATCCAGTCTGTGAAGAAGCTGTCGGACGTGATGATCCTCACCGTGTTCTGCCTCAGCGTCTTCGCTCTGATCGGCCTGCAACTCTTCATGGGCAACCTGAGGCAGAAGTGCGTGCGTGTGCCAGACATCAGCAACAGCAGCGGCAGCCTCAACGTGACGGGGAATGGCACCGGTCCGTCCAACGCCACGCTGGAGTGGATAGAGTACATCAGTGATGAGAGTAAGCAAAGTGATAACCTGTGGAAATAGATCGCGTTTACTTAGGTTCCTTGTCGTGGAGGTGAGATTGAGATAGAAATGGCTCAGGTATCATGAGTTACGCGCCTCCAACAAAAGCTGCTGTGGGAACGGGGCAAAAGCAGCGGATAATCACAGCAACAATAAGAGCCTCCACTTTTCGCCCCCTCACCAGCAGCCGCCGTTCTCCTAAAGTGCTGCAGGAGAGTGAGTCACTGACCACCAACGGGAGATCAAGGACACACGGTCCAGCAACATGACGAGCTGAGGCAGGGTTGGAGGCAAACCACGGACATTGGGCAATGGGGTCCATTTACACTCACAAAAATCAAAACATGTGTACTTCTAATCTAATATAGATGCAAATCTGAATGAAAAAATGGTTTAAAAACTTTTCATATCCTGAAACTTTCATGTATTTTATTGGTATTTTATGTGTTTGATTAACACAAAACATCCCATAAGTTATAAATATGCAGCGATGTAAATAGTTTTAATATTTATTACTCACCCAGAAGTATAAATAAACTTTTGTAGAAGTTAAAGTATCAACTTAAGCTTTTTACAGAAGTAAAAGTGTAAAAGTACCATTTTTAAACTGATTTAAGGTATAAAAGTAATGCAAAATGTTAAGGACAGATGCTTTACTGCAATACTCTATGAAAGGAACATCTTTTCTACAATTCTGGATGATAACTTCCTTATAATTCATTTTCTTGTTGTTTATCTAATGGTAACGGTGTCAAGGTTAAATTTCCACCATCTTGAAAAACTATTTATTTTGGTATGTGGCAAACAACAAGTTGATGCAGAACCGTGTCCAACCACAAAGAAATAATTGTCTGAATGAAGCAAATTATTTTGATGTTTTTAATTTTTTTTTTTTTAAGATACCAGCCATATAGAAAATGTGCTTAAATGAAACAAAAGGATATAAAATAAGGAGTCTATTTTTAAAATGTAAGGAGTAGAAAGAGTAGAGATAATTAAAAAAAAAGTAAGAAGTAAAAAGTTGTCTAAAAAATAACTACAGTAAAGTATAGATTTCTACTTAAATAAGGTAATGAAGTATTTTTATTTGCTTTTTATTTTATTGGTGTGTTTCTTCTGAAACCCTGTGCCACTAGCTTCTAAATAGAGTCCACACGTGTGTAGTTTAGGGCCTCAACTAACAGCTATTTTGCTGATAGATTAATCAATTAATAATTTAATGGCAAAATGTTCCTCAAAGAAGATTTTCCACAGAATTTAAAACATGTGAAGCTAAAACTGTGCCCTCTGAGGACTTCTGGAAAGATCAAATCAAATGACAAAAAGTTTTTTTCATCTTTAATACAAACTGTTACAATATTTTTTTTATTATTTTGGTATAATAACTGCTTTAAGTGGTTTAGTCTTTCATCTGAATGCGTGTTTTAAAGGTACACTATGCAACCGGTGTTGATTTTCCAGCGAGGCTCCCCCTAGAGGGCGAAAGTAAAAGTGCACTGTCGTAAATATGCTCAGCTGTTCTCCTGGTTTCTCCGTCAAGCCAGGCGCGGTTGTTTTGAAAAAAAAACGCCAGTACAAACAATGACTAACACAGTGAAAGTATGAACATGCACACAGAGGGAGAGAAACCATTCCAATGTTACTTACAATCGCATCAGCAGAAACGCGAGGTGCGTGTCAGCCTTGCAGCCTTCTTTTTCTTTTAGCTCTCGCCATTCGGAAAAAGCTTGCCTGATGTTCACCCGTGTACGACTCCTCTCTCTGTCCAGAGCCCTTTTCCTCTTTCTTGCCTGCTCCGACATGGGCTTTTGCTGTTTTCACGCTGGTTCCGCCATGATAACTGCACAAAGATCGCCACTGTGCTAGCAACGAGCATGCCTTTCACTGGGGGCGTGTAGCAGTTCTCGCCGTAAAGCAAGACCGACTCTCGCGAGACTTCTGAGCCTGTGGGTGCGGGCCGAGGGCTCCTGCAATTGCAAGTACGGTATTTCCCCTACAGACCACCAGGGCGGCCGAGAAAACCTTTGTTCGACCTGAAATGACTCATTTAATCATCCAAAACGTTATGGAACACATTAATTAAATGCCTTTAAATTCTAAACTTAAGTTAATGATTAATCCTTTACTGATGTAGTTTATTTCAATAATCTATTAATCACTAATAATCCCATTAATTCTTTCAGGCCTAAACTTGGCCTCAATTTAATCCCAGCTTTTTTTTTCTGTCTGACTAATAATAAATAGCCCGAATCAGGAGGAGGAAAGATCAGAAAAGTAAGGCGGTGGCAGTATAATGCTGTGGGGATTTGGTATGAGGAGCAAAGCTGGTCAGAGTTAAGAGAGAATTGTTGCTAGTTGCTGTAATTGATCCGGAAGATGGTTGAATAAAGGAGGGTGAACAAAAAGGCATGCCGCACCTTTCAGATTTTTTTTCAGATCATGTCTATCATATGGATTTTCATCATTATGCACCTATTTTTCTTGGTTTGTCCAATAAAACCCCAGCCTGGTTCTGTATTGTTGAGGTGTGTAACATCCCAAAATCTGAACAGGATTGAAGTTATAATAATATTTCTACGCAGCGGTGAATTGATCTCACTGATAGAGCTCATAGGATGCTCATTCCTCTGCCTCATATCCTCTACCATATTCTGAGACTGTTGTCCTCTCCCCTTTAGGTAATTATTATTACCTTCCTGGTCGTAGGGACGCTCTGCTCTGTGGAAATGGCAGCGGTGCAGGGTAAGATCTGACATCTTCTATTTATATGACCAATTAGCCACACTGCAAAGCTACGGCAGACAGTTCAAGTTGGTTCCAGAAACGCTTCGGTGCAGTAGGGAGATTTAGCTGCGTTTTTATAGAATATATAGAAAGAAAGGTTTTCTCTTCTTATGTTTAAGAAATAAAGGGTAATGATGCAGACGGAGGGACCTCACATTACCAGGACAGCCATTAAGGCTCTTCTTTCGTCGCTTCCAAGCCAATTCCAAAGATAAAAAAATCAGAGATTTTAGGATAAAATGCAAATTATTCCTGTTAAAAGCTTCTTCTAGTTCCCCTGTTGATGTTTATCTGGTGGTCGGATGGCAACAGATGATAAGACGGGTTAAAATGTGCAGCTATGCAGTTTATCAACAGATTTGGTTTAAGGATGCAGCAAAATTTCTTGTATTATAAAATCTGTCTTCATGGGTTCTTTTTGTTGTTTAGAAATCTGCTCATTTATAACCTCCATTTGGTGTTTTAAAGACTCTGTCCAGAGGGGTTTGTTTGTCTCAAAACGGGCCGTAATCCAGACTACGGCTACACGAGCTTCGACACCTTCAGCTGGGCCTTCCTCTCTCTGTTTCGACTCATGACGCAGGACTACTGGGAAAACCTCTACCAACAGGTTTGTCAGCACTCTAATAGCCTTCACCTGTTGAAATAATGGAGAAATGACTAAATAAAGATGAAAAAAATCTAAATATATATATAATTTTAGCTTTTCTGCTTTGTCTTGGCAGACTTTGCGTGCAGCAGGGAAGCCCTATATGATCTTCTTCGTGCTGGTGATCTTCCTCGGCTCCTTTTACCTCATTAACCTGATCCTGGCTGTGGTAGCCATGGCTTACGATGAGCAGAACCAGGCCACCATCGAGGAGGCTCAGCAGAAGGAGGAGGAGTTCCAGGCCATGCTGGAGCAGCTGAAGAGGCAGCAGGAGGAGGCGCAGGCACGACTATTTCCTTTTTATTCCCACTCAGCTTTCTGCTATTTCGGTTTAAATCGTGCTGCTGTTTGAAAATCAGAACATATGCAGAACAAATTGGGTGTTCGGATTGGTTTATTTAGTATTCAAGACATGCAGAGTATTCTGCCTGATGTTTAGTCTTTCAGTGTTGCCATGGAGACCCAGAGATTTATTGTCTGGTCTCTACCAAGTTGTAAAATTATTCACTTAAGCCCAAAAGCACAAAAACACACGCATCACACTCCAAAGTGTCACCATAAAAAAAAAAAAAAACAGTGGGACAATTTGTAAAAAGAATGATGAAGTAAATATGAATCTTAACACTAGAAGTCCCAAAGTGCAGACTTTAGTCTGCACCTAGTTTGTATAAAGTATCCCCCCAAAGGTGTTAACGGCTCTCCTCTGGTGCTCCATTTTCAAATCAAATGCAAATGTAGGAATGTGGTTTGGTGACTTCAGCTGGTGTGCTGGGGTTTCTTTGTTAAAGTTGCCTCTCTTTGTGTTGTAAATTAGCTTTTTCAAGGAGTTGAGTAATTTACAGAATTTCTGTGGGGATAAATAGAGCAGGCACAGCACACAGACTCAGAATTCACCTGGAATTCACCATGGCACAACCAAGGCGACCAAGAAGGATGAACGCTCAAGAGGCTTTAGCCATGCTTCAGAGCATGCCAGACTACGAATCTGATGGTGGATCTGTTGGAGACTTAGCATTTCAGAATGAAAACGGCGCAACCGATTCTTCAAGTGAAGAGGATGATTCATATGAGAATGCGACTGCTTTTGCACCAGCAAATCCTCCCCTCCAAAGACGCACCAGGGGCCGAGTGGTCAATTATATGATTGAGCGGGACAGTTCAAACACTGAGGCTACATCAGATGAAGAGGAAGACACAGTGCGCGGCAACTCCCCTCCTTGCAAAAAACAAAAAACGGCTGATGTTGGCACAATGCCTGGAACCACAGAGAAGGCGAAAGATGGCACTGTTTGGTCCCATTGGAAAGTTGAAGACTTTTCTGTTCCTGAAACCCCACAGACTGCCTTCAATGGATCAGGAGGGCCAACAGATTCTGCGAAACGCAAAATCACAAGCCGCCTTCGCAGCTTCCTGTGTTTGTTGGATATGAACATGTTGCTCACCATCAGAGACTGCACAGTCCACGAGGCCCGCAGAACAAACCCCAGCTGGCAGATGAGTGTCTACGAGCTGATGGCTTTCCTCGCAATCCTTTTTCGAAGGGCTGCCATGGGTTACATTGGTCCCATGCGACACATGTGGGCCAATAAATTCGGAAACGCAGATATCAAACCCATAATGCCTCGTAACCGTTTTTTTGAAATAAGACGGTACCTTCGTTTTGACAACAAGGACACCCGCAAGGAACGCATACACAATGACAAATTTGCAGCAATTTCTGACATCTGGATGCGGTTTGTTCAGAACTGTGTGTCGTCCTACAGTCCAGGACAGCATGTTACTGTGGATGAGCAGCTGTTTCCGTCCAAGGTTCGGTGCCCCTTTTTGCAGTACATTGCATCCAAGCCTGACAAGTTTGGAATCAAGTTTTGGATTGCAGCAGATCTGGACACAAAATACATGTGTAATGCCATCCCTTACTTGGGAAAGGATCCCACTCGTCCAAAAGGAGAGAGGTTGTCAGAGAACGTTGTTCTGAAATTGATGGAACCATTTTTGGACAAGGGAAGGACTGTAGCTATGGACAATTTCTTCACCTCTCTGTCTTTGGCTAACAGGCTCCTTCAGCGAAATACAACTCTGCTTGGCACCATCAGCAAAATCTGTCGGGAGCTACCAGCAACTGCAAAGCAAACCTCGGGGCGCCAGTTGCACTCCACGCAGGTCTTCAAATCTGGAAGTGCCTTGCTGACGGTGTATGCGACAAAAAAAAGAAATCTGTCTGTCTTCTGAGTACCATGCATCACAGAGTGGAAATTGTGGACATTCAAAAACAAAAACCAAACACTGTGGTTGATTACAACCATCTCAAATGTGGTGTTGATATTATGGACCAGAAACTGCGCAACTACTCTGTGCGTGCAGGAACACGGAGGTGGCCTATGGCTGTGTTTTATAACCTGCTTGACATGGCCGCCACAAATGCACATGTTTTTTACACAGCGTGTACAGGATCCAAAGAAAGTCGTCGACTGTTCATGCTGGAGCTTTCAGAGGAACTCAAAAACAGGCTCCTGCAGGAAAAGACACAAGAGGAAGAGCAAAAACAGCTACGTCGTGAGATGAGAGTTTCCCAGCAGAAAAAGACTCAATGCCAGGTGCGCATACTCTGCAATAACAACAGAAGTACTGAACGTTGTGTCCAATGTGGCAAATTTACCTGTGGCAAATGTAGGAAAGGCTCACCATGGGAATGTGGAAACTGCTAGATGGGACAATTGCATTTTACATTTTTCCACATTATATTTAGTGCTTTATCCATATGTAGACTGTTTTTCTTTATCTGAAATAAAAAAAAAAAACTTTCTGAAGCTATACCTTCTGTCTGTTGTTTTTCAAAATTGAGCTGTTTGGGGTGGGAATTGGGCTCCAGTCCCCCCAACTGATCTGTACAATGAAAACATCTCCATCAGCTGACAAGAATATTTATACAACAATGACCATCTGCCCTATTTACTAGAGGGCAAACAAGCAAACATCATCCGCTCACGATTTCCAGCGGAAAGCCGGTTTTGTGCTGGAAACCCGTTTCCAGCTCAAATTCCAATCTGGCGGCAGGGGGAAATGTAAAGGTTGTGGGTGGGAAGTCTAGCTCCCAGAATAAATAGGCCCAGCAGATCGACTCAGTTATTGAGATTTCAAGCTTGGCTTGGCTTGGCGTACAAGCTTGGCTGCAACAGACGAGCATGTGTTGTACAAGCCGTGCACAGGGACCAAAGAGAGTCCACCAAAGTTAATTCTGCTACTTGCAAATGAACTTCATAACATTTGTATGCAAGAAAATGCAATAAAGGAAGAACACATGAGACAGCATTGTGAGATGAAGAGACTAGGGCTGTTCCTTTTGTGACATATACAGGTGCTGGTCATAAAATTAGAATATCATGAAAAAGTAGATTGATTTCAGTAATTCCATTTAAAAAGTGAAACTTGTATATTATATTCATACATTACATACAAACTCATATATTTCAGATGTTTATTTTGTTTAATTTTGATGATTACAAATGACAACAAATGAAAATCTCAAATTCATCATATCAGAAAATTAGAATATTACTGAAGACCAATAAAAACAAAGGATTTATAGAAATGTTGGCCAACTGAAAAGTATGAACATGAAAAGTATGAGCATGTACAGCACTCAGTATTTAGTTGGGCCTCCTTTGGCCTGTATTACTGCAGCAATGCGGCGTGGCATGGAGTCCATCAGTCTGTGGCACTGCTCAGGTGTTATGATAGCCCAGGTTGCTCTAATAGTGGCTTTTAGCTCTCCTGAATTGTTGGGTCTGGTGTATTGCATCTTCTTCTTCACAATACCCCATAGATTTTCTATGGGGTTAAGGTCAGGAGAGTTTGCTGGCCAATTAAGAACAGGGATACCATGGTCCTTCAACCAGGTACTGGTAGCTTTGGCACTGTGTGCAGGTGCCAAGTCCTGTTGGAAAATGAAATCTGCATCTCCAAAAAGTTGGTCAGCTGCAGGAAGCATGAAGTGCTCTAAAACTTCCTGGTATGTGGCTGCGTTGACCCTGGACCTCAGAAAACACAATGGACCAACACCAGCAGATGACATGGCACCCCAAACCATCACTGACTGTGGAAACTTTACACTGGACTTCAAGCAACGTGGATGAAGTGCCTCTCTTCTTTTCCTCCAGACTCTGGGACCTTGATTTCCAAAGGAAATGCAAAATTTACTTTCATCAGAGAACATGACTTTGGACCACTCACCAGCAGTCCAGTCCTGTTTCTCTTTAGCCCAGGCAAGACGCTTCTGACGCTGTCTGTGGTTCAAGAGTGGCTTGACACAAGGAATGCGACAGCAGAAACCCATGTCTTTCATACGTCTGTGTGTGGTGGTTCTTGAAGCACTCACTCCAGCTGCAGTCCACTCTTTGTGAATCTCCCCCACATTTTTGAAGGGGTTTTGTTTCACAATCCTCTCCAGGGTGCGGTTATCTCTCTTGCTTGTACACTTTTTTCGACCACATCTTTTCCTTCCCTTCGCCTCTCTATTAATGTGCTTGGACACTGAGCTCTGTGAACAGCCAGCCTCTTTAGCGATGACCTTTTGTGTCTTGCCCTCCTTGTGCAAGGTGTCGATGGTCGTCTTTTGGACAACTGTCAAGTCAGCAGTCTTCCCCATGATTGTGTAGCCTATAGAACTAGACTGAAAGACCATTTAAAGGCTTTTGCAGGTGGTTTGAGTTAATTAGCTGATTAGAGTGTGGCACCAGGGGCCATCAATTTTGAACCTTTTCACAATATTCTAATTTTCTGATATGATGAATTTGAGATTTTCATTTGTTGTCATTTGTAATCATCAAAATTAAACAAAATAAACATCTGAAATATATGAGTTTGTATGTAATGTATGAATATAATATACAAGTTTCACTTTTTAAATGGAATTACTGAAATCAATCTACTTTTTCATGATATTCTAATTTTATGACCAGCACCTGTATGTTACTCCAATACTAAAGGCATACTGTTTGTCATTCTCTAAGATTAAATTTTGAATTACATAAAAAGGCGAGACAAGACAAAATACAATTATTCTTTCTTTCATATAGTGAGCTTTGCAATATAAATGAGTCTGTTGGTGAATGGACAATAGAAATAGACTCTGCCTTGCCTTGTTGGAAAAGCATGGTTATGACTTGTTCTCAGCTCAGGAACTAGGACCACTATAATATCTGGTTGTTCAATAGGTTTGCCTAAATAAAAATTTAGATATGACATATAAATATATTCCTGCAAAAAGGTATGATGTTGCAGGGGCAGGTACTGAAAAGTGCTTGGAACATGGTCTTGATGCCAGTTTGTTTCAGCCTTTATCCAGTCTTAATGTAGAAGGGCTGGTCATATCACAGGTTATTTGCATTACAATAGGGACAGTTAGCAAGGCAGAGTGAATACACAAACTTGCAGAGGGGAGGGGGGCTTGCAGGAAAACTGAAAATCTCTGGGACATCTAGTGTGAAAACCAAAGAAAATCACAATAAATTAGTAAATATATGTCCTTTGTCCTATGTACTGTAGTGTCCTTTCAGGAGCTTGTTTGCACACTGCGATAAATTTAAATCTAAATAAGTATTTTTTTTTTAAATAAGTGCGTTTTATATTGAATTGAGGTGGCAAGTGAGACACTTTGCCAATGGAACAACACTATTTACAGGTGCTGGTCATAAAATTAGAATATCATGAAAAAGTAGATTGATTTCAGTAATTCCATTTAAAAAGTGAAACTTGTATATTATATTCATACATTACATACAAACTCATATATTTCAGATGTTTATTTTGTTTAATTTTGATGATTACAAATGACAACAAATGAAAATCTCAAATTCATCATATCAGAAAATTAGAATATTACTGAAGACCAATAAAAACAAAGGATTTATAGAAATGTTGGCCAACTGAAAAGTATGAACATGAAAAGTATGAGCATGTACAGCACTCAGTATTTAGTTGGGCCTCCTTTGGCCTGTATTACTGCAGCAATGCGGCGTGGCATGGAGTCCATCAGTCTGTGGCACTGCTCAGGTGTTATGATAGCCCAGGTTGCTCTAATAGTGGCTTTTAGCTCTTCTGAATTGTTGGGTCTGGTGTATTGCATCTTCTTCTTCACAATACCCCATAGATTTTCTATGGGTTTAAGGTCAGGAGAGTTTGCTGGCCAATTAAGAACAGGGATACCATGGTCCTTCAACCAGGTACTGGTAGCTTTGGCACTGTGTGCAGGTGCCAAGTCCTGTTGGAAAATGAAATCTGCATCTCCAAAAAGTTGGTCAGCTGCAGGAAGCATGAAGTGCTCTAAAACTTCCTGGTATGTGGCTGCGTTGACCCTGGACCTCAGAAAACACAATGGACCAACACCAGCAGATGACATGGCACCCCAAACCATCACTGACTGTGGAAACTTTACACTGGACTTCAAGCAACGTGGATGAAGTGCCTCTCTTCTTTTCCTCCAGACTCTGGGACCTTGATTTCCAAAGGAAATGCAAAATTTACTTTCATCAGAGAACATGACTTTGGACCACTCACCAGCAGTCCAGTCCTGTTTCTCTTTAGCCCAGGCAAGACGCTTCTGACGCTGTCTGTGGTTCAAGAGTGGCTTGACACAAGGAATGCGACAGCAGAAACCCATGTCTTTCATACGTCTGTGTGTGGTGGTTCTTGAAGCACTCACTCCAGCTGCAGTCCACTCTTTGTGAATCTCCCCCACATTTTTGAAGGGGTTTTGTTTCACAATCCTCTCCAGGGTGCGGTTATCTCTCTTGCTTGTACACTTTTTTCGACCACATCTTTTCCTTCCCTTCGCCTCTCTATTAATGTGCTTGGACACTGAGCTCTGTGAACAGCCAGCCTCTTTAGCGATGACCTTTTGTGTCTTGCCCTCCTTGTGCAAGGTGTCGATGGTCGTCTTTTGGACAACTGTCAAGTCAGCAGTCTTCCCCATGATTGTGTAGCCTATAGAACTAGACTGAAAGACCATTTAAAGGCTTTTGCAGGTGGTTTGAGTTAATTAGCTGATTAGAGTGTGGCACCAGGGGCCATCAATTTTGAACCTTTTCACAATATTCTAATTTTCTGATATGATGAATTTGAGATTTTCATTTGTTGTCATTTGTAATCATCAAAATTAAACAAAATAAACATCTGAAATATATGAGTTTGTATGTAATGTATGAATATAATATACAAGTTTCACTTTTTAAATGGAATTACTGAAATCAATCTACTTTTTCATGATATTCTAATTTTATGACCAGCACCTGTACATTTAAAATAAGAAAAAAACAATTGCATTGTCTTATTATAAGTGCATATTATCTAATTATCTTGTTTTAAGAGTAAAATACTAATTCTATTGGCAAATAATGCCATTTAACTACTAAAATTAAGGGGAAAATACACATGTGGTTGCACTTTTAATCTGGACCAGCATCCTTTGAAATTATAAACCCAGAATTGAACCAAAAATCTATGGAGAGCCATTTCAGCCAAAATTAAATAAATAAATAAATAAATGGGTGAAATAAATAAAAAATGAGTAAAATAAATAAAAAAAATGAAGAAAATAAGTGAAATAAATAAAAAATTTGTTAAATAATTTAGCTTTTTCATTAAACCAATTTTTAATTTATTTATTTTTCATATTATCAATTTCCCAATTTCTCTTTTTCATTTATCTATTTGTCATTTATCCCTTTATCCATTTACCCATTTTTCATTAATTTAATTTTCATTTAAACACTTTTCAATTTCCCTTTTTTACTAAGCCAACTTTTTAAATTTATTTATTTAATTTATTTTTCAGATTATCTATTTCTCAATTTCTGTTTTATCCATTTTTCATTTATCTATTTTTCTTTTACCCATTTTTCATTAATCTATGTTTTAATTTAACCACTGTTCAATTTCCTTTTTCCATTAACCCGATTTCCTATTTCCCGGTTTCATTAATCAATTTCTCATATATCCCTTTTTTATTTACCAATTTTTCTTTTATCTATTTTTCATTTACCATTTGTTTGAAAAAATTTTAATTTTCCCATTTTCCAATTTCCCTTATTCATTAAGTATTTCCTTATTTTTTAATTTATCACATTCTATTTTCCCCTCTTCGCTTCTGCTTTAATATGATAATGAGGGGCGGTGTCTTCAGGCTACAATGGCAGCCTATTGGTTGGTTAGATGCAACTGCAGCGCTCAGGTCCTGTTCAGTAGCAGTCGAAGTGTAAGCTGTTTTTTCAAAAGTTAAAGTTAAACAAAACTCAAAGGACCATAAAACACGTCGGATATTAAACTTACAGCATTCTAGTTCATCTATTCGATCGGCAGCTTCCCTAAGAAGAACTCTTCTTAGGGAAGATGAACGGTCGGCAGAAACGATTTTAAGTTGACATGTGTTGGGTGTCATTGTTTCTTAATTAATTCTACCTTCATTGCATTCATCCTCAATCCATGTGAAATGATTCCCTCTCCAATCATTGCTGCTTTTTTTCAGGTTGGGAATCAATTCAGTTTATTTCTATAAAGCCAATTAACAGCAGATGTCATTCAGTTTAACATCCAGACAAGTTAAGGAAAACCAGCTGCTAGCATCCAGTTATTGTCCTTGCAGGACTTCTTATTCTTTCTTACGCATTTTGGACCCATCTTGTTATTTGTTTGACCTAAAACATTCTGCAGTTACCATAAAATAAGTTTCCATGGTGTTTTTCTTCAGAAGTGGAGTCTTCTGTCGTGAACATGCATAAGTGAGATCCTTTCACATGTCAGGACAGGTATCTGGAACCAATCAGCCATCATTTTGTTTTAAAACGACATGGTTGCTGAGGTTTTTTTTTAGAGGTTTTTACTTTTCCCCTTCATGAGATGCTACTTGTGTCCCGCTTTACTGTGACCGACCCAGAGAAAGGTCTCTAAACACTGCTGGATTTCAGGAAACTCATTTGTTTTTTGCCTTTTTTCTAATAGAAGCATGAGGTGTTTCTTGTTTTCTCCACGTATGCAAAGCCAGACACTTTGTTCTGCTGGTCTAAAATACATTCTAAAACTTCCCATCACATGTTTCTCATTCAACTATTCATAACAGGCCATACATTTTCCTTCTGCTAGTGTCCAATTATTCTCTAACCTTAGCAAGGTCATTGCTGGTGCCTTTCCTACCTTGCATTGTGTCAACACACACTTTCTTGGTGATAAATCAGTTCGATTAGAAGCATTTGATGCCAATTTTCCCTTTCAAATCAAAGATCACAGCTTTTCTTTGTTGGCATCAGAACAAATAAGCTGATGGAATGTTTTTTGGTGTTTATTTAGATTTAATGTTTGATTTAATTGTTTATTTTTTTACCTAAAAAAGAATAAAATAGTTTATAATTAGGTGAGAGTTAAGAACTCACTGCCTCGCTGTAATCTGAAATCCATCCTGCTTTTTTTCTACAGGCAGGACATCAAATATGTCTCTTTTCTGCGGCGTTGCTGGGTTTGTTTTCTGTCAGATGTGTTTCATCCTTTAGTGGTTGGACTCATGCTTATCAGCCGGGTGCACAATCACACACGTGACACACAATAAAATCCCTGTTCCTTTGCTTTGTTTGCCCTTAACTACAGATAGACAAACATAGAAGAAAAAGGTTTAATGTTTTATTTGAGGAAATGAATGGTGATACTCTCAGATTACAGAAGCTGGAAGTTTTTATCAGTTCCACAATATGTCTGGTGTTTGTTCAGATATCTGTCTTGTTTTCTAAAGCAAAGCAGCTCTAATTCATCCCTCCATCCACACAAATGTTTTGGTTCTGGTAAAAACATTCAGACGTCCATTTTTAGAATGCGTCTGTGGTTGATTTGGCTCTTCAAGCCAGGCTCTCTCCTCCGCTCCCCTCCGAGACAGGCGCTGGGTCTCCATGACGACTGTCTCTGTGCTCTAATTGGCTGGCAGGTTGCCGCGGCAGCAGCCACGGAGAGCGGAGAGTACAGCGGGAGAGGGGGCCCCACCTCTGAGTCCTCCTCGGGGACGTCCAAGCTGAGCTCCAAAAGCGCCAAGGAGCGACGCAACAGGAGGAAGAAGAGGAAGCAGCGCGAGGAGGAGGAGGAGAGGGGCGTGTGCGACAAGTTCCACAAGTCCATGTCAGAGGACAGCATCAAGAGGTCCAGCTTCCGCTTCTCCATCGATGCTAACCGGCTGTCCTATGAGAAAAGATGCTCCTCACCCAACCAGGTAACTTTTACACAGCACTGTCATCATGATTTAAAAACATACTTTATTGACACTTGATGAGCAGCAGGCCTCAAAACATTGGAAACTTTATAAAGTTTATTGGGATTTGATGTGATAAACCAATTGAAAGTATCTCATTAGGACTGTGAGGACTGAAAGGTGTGGCATGCTTTTGTGTTAAACGGGGTGTCCTCTTCATCTATCCTGTATCGTCACGTTCCATTCGCCTCCTCTCCAGTCTCTCCTCAGTGTCCGTGGTTCCCTCTTCTCGCCCCGGAGGAACAGCCGCGCCAGCCTCTTCAGCTTCCGCGGCCGAGCCCGCGACATGGGCTCGGAGAACGACTTCGCCGACGACGAGCACAGCACCTTCGAAGAGAGCGACAGTCGCCGGGGGTCCCTGTTCCTGCCGCGCCGCCTCGAGCGCCGCTGCAGCGCCGTTAGCCAGATGAGCCTCGGGGCGCCGCGGATCGTGCTCCCCGCCAACGGGAAGATGCACTGCTCGGTCGACTGCAACGGGGTGGTTTCGCTGGTCGGTGGGACATCTGTAACAACCTCTCCTGTAGGTCTCCTGCTACCTGAGGTGACTTTATGGTTTATTTTCACATTTCGCTCTTTAAGAATTTATTTCTTTGAATCCTTTTGTTCCATTTTCTGATAATTTTTATCCATTATCCATCTTTTTCACAAAAACCAAGATAACCAGTAGCAAAGATTCAGCTTTTATAATAATAGCCTAAACATTATTTAATTTTTTGTTTTTATTAGGGAACAACAACAGATACCGAGATAAAGAAGCGCCGATCTGGATTCCTGCAGCCTTCCATGGACTATTTAGATGAACCGGGGGCGCGGCAGAGAGCCTTGAGTGTAGCCAGCATACTCACCAACACAATGGAAGGTCGGTATCTTTCAGAGCTTTTTGACCCCTGAATCCTAAAGTCTGAGGATTCAGACTTTAGGATTCTTATTGTCCATTATGTCTGTATCTAAAACCCTTCGATGTTAGCTGACAGCAAGATAGTTCAGATTACTTCTCTAAAAAGACACTCCTCCTTTTCCAGAGCTGGAAGAGTCCAGACAGAAGTGCCCTCCCTGCTGGTATCGATTTGCCAACAAGTGTCTGATTTGGGACTGCTGTCCCGCATGGCTGAAAATCAAAGAGGTGGTCAGCATGGTGGTCATGGACCCCTTTGTGGATCTGGCCATCACCATCTGCATCGTCCTCAACACTCTTTTCATGGCCATGGAGCACTACCCAATGACTAAGGAATTTGATAACCTCCTCACCATTGGAAACCTGGTAGGTGTTTATTCTGATTCGACGCACCCTTAGAAAATGGACGGGGTCGGTTGATGTGGATATTTAATCAGCTTTCCCTTTGTGTTTATTCTAGGTGTTTACAGGCATCTTCACAGCTGAAATGTGCTTCAAGATCATCGCCCTGGATCCTTACTATTATTTTCAGGAAGGCTGGAACATCTTTGACGGTATCATTGTTAGCCTCAGTCTCATGGAGCTGGGCTTGGCTAACGTCGAAGGCCTGTCTGTGCTCAGGTCCTTCAGATTGGTAAGAGTAAATGTTGTCATTTAAATCTATAAACCCTGGTATAAGAATACATTATAAACAAGCAGGGTACTGTTGAAGGTATTTTGACATTGAGGAACTTAATTATTGTTTCGTTCAGACACTCGTTTAGATACTATTCCACCAGGATTTGTACTTTATGGCCAGAAATTGATATTATAATAATTTTATGTTCATATTTCAAAATGTAAAATCTATTGCTTGTGGTTATGATGATATTTAGCCATCTAATGCAGCGGGGAATAGTTACTCAGACTCTAACCCTGATCCAAAAGTACAAATCACACCACATACGCTAAATGTTCAATAAAAAAATAATCATAATTGTTTCGGTAGTAGAGCAGAACAAGCTAAACATTATTAATTGAGGAATTGTTAGAACAGACGCCTTGAAACTACCCATGTTTACTAAGAAAACATGGTCCCTACTGGACATCTTATCGGTTTTTATTACATAAACAATGGATCTGTGAAACGATCAGCGATTAAAGTCAACATAAGGTCTACTCAAATGACTGCAGTTTAAAAGGAAGGCTCTTTCACATAACCGAGTCGATTAATTAAAAATAAATAACTTCACTGTGAAAAAAAGGAGCGATAAAGTTCATCCTCCCACCTCTTTTTTAATAAACCAGCGCAGTCTTTGTCAGCAGCTCTTTAAATGTGTCTTTTGCTAGATTGGAGCAATTTTCAAAGGATAAATTATTTTCCCCTTAGTGCATGTTGTATTCAGACCTTCCCACATAATGGTATTTGTTTTTATATCAGCTTCGAGTCTTCAAACTCGCCAAGTCCTGGCCCACTCTCAACATGCTGATCAAGATCATCGGTAACTCGGTGGGCGCTCTGGGCAACCTGACTCTTGTGCTGGCCATTATCGTCTTCATCTTCGCCGTGGTGGGCATGCAGCTGTTCGGCAAGAGCTACAAGGAGTGCGTGTGCAAGATTTCAGAAGACTGCGAGCTGCCGCGCTGGCACATGCACGACTTCTTCCACTCCTTCCTCATCGTGTTCCGGGTGCTGTGCGGGGAGTGGATAGAGACCATGTGGGACTGCATGGAGGTGGCAGGACAGACCATGTGCATTATTGTCTTCATGATGGTCATGGTGATCGGAAACCTAGTGGTATGACCTTTGCCCTGGTCAGGAATCTCTTGCAGGATCTGGTTTCTGTACCATGACCATCATTTATTTTGATTCCTTTCAGGTTCTCAACCTTTTTCTGGCTCTCCTCCTGAGCTCATTCAGTGCAGACAACCTGGCCGCCACCGACGAAGACAGCGAGATGAACAACCTGCAGATCGCCGTCGGACGCATCCAGCGCGGCATCTCTTACGTCAAAGCCAAAGTGCGACAGTTCCTCCAGAGCCTCTGCTTCGGCGGCGGGAAGGGATCCGGCCTGGCTGAGGAGAGCAAACCCCTGGATGATCTACAGAGTAATGGAAAGGGGAACTGCATTTCTAACCACACTCCACTGGAGATCACCAAAGACTCCAGCGGGGTATACTTGATGGAGGGCAACGGAAAGCCAGGAGGGCTGACTGTTGGGGTGGGTGGGGACACCACCAACAAGTACGCAATGGAGGAATGCGACTATATGTCCTTTATTCACAACCCCAGCCTGACTGTGACCGTCCCCATCGCCGTTGGCGAGTCAGACTTTGAAAACCTAAACACGGAGGATTTCAGCAGTGACTCCTCTGACGTGGAGGGAAGCAAAGAGGTAAGACAGCCGACTATCTGTTGGCTGACGTCTTTGTCGGCTTGCGACAGCCGCGTCGGCATCTTTTTAAAGCGTAATTAGCCGATCGTATCTGCGTTAATTAGCAGGATACACAAATATGTGTGAATTTATCCGGATTTGGATAGAAATGGTCTTTTGTAGACAATGATCTGACGGTAGGACACTTTTAAAATAACATAAGTGCTGCCTCATGCGTACACACGTCATGCTGCTCTGTGCTAATGGCGTCTTATCCTGGCAGCCGTAACAAAAGAGATTCAGATCCGTCCTTTTGTCCCTGGCAACAGGTTTATGTGTTATCGTTAAGATGCATGACTCACTATTTTGGAAACTGCTGACTTACCACTACACTTGTGAACATTTATCTCTTGTGCTAATCCAGTTATGTTTGCTTCATCCTGTTTCAGGACAACAAGAAAATGGTGTAAAGATTTAATTACAGCTGGTTTCTTGCAAAAAATGTGCACATTCTTTTACAGCAGAACCACAAACAGAGATTTTATTTGACAGACAAACAATGCAGAGCATAACTTTGAAAAGGAAAAAGATTATGTTCTGGTCAGATGAGACAAAACTGACATAAAGAAGAAGGCTTTAGACCAAAACATCTTTGTATTCCATAATGGTTTCCATTCATATGCAGAATCAGTGGACATAATTAAATACTTATTTTCATAAATTCTCCATCCAAACCAATTTTAAGATGTTTAGCAAAGAATAAAAAAAATCCCTTATTTCACAATTTGAGTAATTTTTTGTTTTTGTTTTTTTATAACGATTAACTTTTGTAGGTTTATCCCATAAATCCCTCAAGAAAACACTTTGAGGTTTGGTTTTTTTTAGGGATGCACAATATAATCGGCCCCCTATCGGTATCGGCCTTAAAACTGAATATCGGACATCGGCCACCCCACCGATATTTAACCCGATATTTGATCAGCTTCTGAGTTTCTAACGTATAAAAAAATAAAATAAAACTACTTCTTCTTCCTCAAAAACTTCTTTTTTACAGACTTAAAAACTTCTAAAGATGAGGGAAAAAATATTGATACATTAAAATATCACAATATCTTCATATGCTGATATATTGCCATTTAAAAACACCATATCAATCTCTTTTACTAATGAAATATTGCTATATGTCATCGTTATGCTACGAAATCCCCCGAAAACTCACGAAATTTTGCCATATTTTTATATGTTGCTATATTGACGCGGCATCGATCTATTTTACTAACAAAATCTCACAAGAATTTGCAAAATATCACAAGAGTTTGTAACAGAACGATGAAATTTCACGAGATTTTGAAAGTAAAATAGATCGATACCGCGTTTAAAAAAATCTATTTGATATCAGCATATGAAAATATATTTGAGTATATTATTTTTCAAAGTGTCAGAAATGGATAACAAAACTGCTATTTTCAATGACTACTTATTTTTGTCCAGCTTTAACATCGGTATCGATATCGGTTATCGGCTACATGAGTTTTAAAATATCGGCCAAAATCCCAATATCGTGCATCCCTAGTTTTTTTTTTTTTTTTTTTTTTTTGTTAAAAAAATGTAAATAAAACTTCAGGGGGTTTGGCACACTTTTCCAAAGCACCCTAACCCTTCGACTGATTTCCTTTTTTTCAACCGATTACCCTTTGTGCCAGAGCAAAACCATAATTTGGTATTTGTAGTCGTCAAGCTGGTAGAGCATTGGGGCTCTGCTCCCTGGTGATGGGAATCTGTCATTGTGGGTGTGGTGCCAGCTCCCTTTGATTCAAAACAACCCGTGAGTCTATTTCTGGCCATGACAGCACATGCTCCATATATGGATCATTTGTCTGACATCACAGCTGCTCTTTAGAGGCGAAACATTTTTTTTAGCAATAACATTCCCATTGCTGTGTGCACTCACTGAATTTAATATCTGTCTCTGAGATAACTGTAACCCTATGGAGTGGCCAGTGAGGGTAGACATGAGGTTGTATGCTGGCTTTGGTGTTGATGACTTACTCTGTTTAACCCCCTCGTTTGTTATTACAGCTGTTTCACAGGCGCTCTCAAGGTTTTCAGTGAGAAGATGCTTGTAAGATCACTTTATTGCACTAACCATGAGGATTGCCTATATCATTTACAGACAAACATATTTTTCTCATACCTTCAATGGATTGCCCATTTTCGTTCCTTGCCTGGTCCGCCCTCAGCCACCTTCCCACCGTCTTTGCTTTTATTCCTCTCCCTGTGCCATTCAACAGCACTCCCAACGCTGTGATGATTTTCTTTTCCCTCGATCCCCTTTCCCCTCTCATAATTAACCTCAAGGCATCAGGCTGTATTTTAGTTCCAACCCATTATGAATGAGCACCCTTCTATCCATTTATAGACCAACTCATCTAACATAATGTTTTCTCTTGGTTTCATTGCTTGGTTTTGACTTGGTTTTGGGACTTGATTGGCATCCTACGCTCTGAGCTTGAGAATGAAAGAAGACAGGAGGCAGAGGAGACGGAATGAAGGAATGAATTTTGCTTTGGTTAGACAAAATTCATTTGTCTGGCTCATGTCCCATGCATACACACTTGGACAATATGTATGTATTTACCTGTGTACCTTGAATGATAATGGAATGATGAAAGATCCGAGTTGATAATTTTCATGAGAACGAGGTAAATGTTTTCCTTTTTGCAGGGTTTCAAAAGAGATAACACATTCTAGATTATCATAACTATAAAACAAAATTGTAAATACCTTATCTAGGACTATCAGATATTGTGAAAACACAATTTAATATAATTTGGCTTTAAAACATGTGTTATCAACTTTTGTCTCGCTGTAACTTTATTGTAAAGAAATGTAAATTTTCCTTAGCAGATCTTTCCCCTTTTAACCTGTAAGATGTGAGGCTAATAGCTAAGACAGATTTTTATCTGCTTAAGAAGAAACAGGGAGTGGGAGGAAATCATTCTTCCATAAACAATGCACTTGCAAGCAGCATGCTTCCATCATTCCCATGCCGTATTAGCTGGGTCCCACGGCAATCAGGGCTGCTGCACTGTCTAGGATTACATGTTACTATACCTCCCACCTCCGATTACTCCAAAAAACACCATGTTTGCCCAAATAAAAACAGACAGGAGGCCTGACTTCCCCAAAAAATGTCACTGTATGCGGATGATATTATGATGTATAATAATAAATAAAGCATTTTAGGGTGTTTTTTTTTCCCCAATGAAAGTTGAAGCAGGATTTAAAATCTTTAAAAAGCAGAAATATAAGCTTTAGAGTAGGAGCCACAGTTGTCGTTTCATGCGTTATCTTCTCCACCAACAAGGAGTGTAATTTATCGAGTCCTCTATTAGGTCCTGTGTGTTTTCTGGGTATAGATCAGTCCTAATTCAGTAGTTTTTGCTAACAGGAATATAAAACAAAAACTGACTAAGATGTACAGCACATGCTGTCTTTTAAACAGTGCACAGTACTGGTTTTTGCTGGTAAGCTAATGTGGTTATCCGTCTAAATCTACACAACAGACGAAGCTTTTACACTGCTTTTAAGGAATGGAGAAAGTGTGTTTTCATGTCACTGAGGAAAGTGTTCTGTCTCCTTCCTGGAGTGGCTTTGGACTTGTTCATAAAAGAGACTTGGTAAAAGATTCTGTGATATTTACCTTTGGAAATGGTAAAACAAACCAATTGATTCAGGATCCTTTTTCAGTTGACATGAAAATACTGGATCCCACGTTCTGCTTGGTAATATTTCAGGCTTGGATTGATGATGCACTGGAATACTGCATGCACTCTTCCTCCAACTGAGGTCACATCAAACGTACCCACAGTGCATTTCCGTAAAAGCCAACCTCCCCATGTCACATAATCTAATTTGAAGCCATCTGGTAAAGCTAGTGCCAAAGCCTGTAGGTACATTTGATCGATGCTGCATGTGACAATGATGATGTTAGTTTCAGAATTACTTTAAAGAGCCCAACTCTGTGAGCTATTTCAGCCTTCTCAGTAAGGTCTACAGTTACACATGAATGTAGAATGCCCATGATTTGAAGCTCAGATGGTTGGCTCCTTTAGAAATTAACCTCCACATCCCAGGCCATAGTGTAACCCTCTTTCTGCCCCATCCATGCAGAAGCTGGACGTAGACCCCCAGCCCTTAAGCTCATCGGAGGGGAGCACAGTTGATATCCGTCCCCCAGGAGATGGGGTTGAATCTGTGGAGCTGGAACCCGAGGAGTCATTAGACCCAGAAGCCTGCTTTACAGAAGGTAAGAATTTTATGTTCTTGACAGGATAAGAGTTAAAAGGGCATCTGAGTGGGCCATAACTAGAGGGGTGGAAGTACAACCTCTCCAATGCCCATTTTCATCAAGAGGAAATCATTAGAACTGCTAAAGCTCAACAACAGCCTTTTGTAACGGCTAACAGGAGTGCTCAGTGAAGCAAGAAATAGTCATTTGGACCTGCTATGAATCCTGAATCTATAAATAAGGCAATTGGAATAAAGTGAATTCCTTTTGCATCACAATTTCAAATATGTTGTGGTAAATAAACCTTAGCTCCCTTACTGATTCTTCAGTTTGTTCCTAATTTGCCACAGCTGAAGGCTTTACATATTTAGACAAAGCTTGATAAAGGTTTATTGGAGTATACATCAGACAGAAATAACCGGGATGAAAACGAATTGCCATTTTCTATCCCGGTCAACTGATCTTGCAGACAACGGCTTTCACTTTCACAAACCTCACCTCAAAAACTACTGATTACCAGACCTTTACAGAAAAAGACATAAATAAAATACAGAATCCATCTCATAACATGAACTAGACGGCCAGATGCATTCACCCCTCCATTCATCTATTATTAAACCACACAGCCCATTAAAAACCTCAATATTATACAACCACAAACATGGATAAGAAGCAGCAAAGAGGTATACAACATTACTAAGAGTAACACAAGTAGAATGGAATGACCACAATATTAAAATTGTTGTATTTAGTTTGTAGAGATGCTGGTTATGTAATTTTAGAAGTGGGTAGAGGTGAGAATTCATTTCAGAGATGACTGTTGGCATAAAAGCTGTCTTGCAGTGTAGGTCTTTGGAGACTTGTGCCGTCTGCCAGAGGGTAGCAGGGTGAGCACCGGTGAAAGGGTCGTCTAAAGTCTTTCCCAGTCTTGCAGGCATATTGCATGTTCTAAAGAATGATCCCTCAAGGGCTTTAAATGTTTTCTCTGGTGTTAATCCCCGGAAATTGAAAACTAGAGACATTCTCCACCTCCTCTACTCCTATTCTTGTGGCCTGAACTACTGTCTGTTTCGTCTGAAATAAAGAAATGGTTTCCTTTGTTTGTTTTTTTTTAGTGTTCAGAGAAAGTTTGTTAAGGTCAGAACCAGAGCGCCCAATTCATATTTTATAGGGTACCTCAATACCATTTGAATCCCACCATGATTTGTTGTCCACAAACTTGATGATAATATATTTTGGAGGAGCATAAAGTGCAAAGGGTATAAAGAATAGAAGTACACAGCCCTGTGGTGCCCCCAGTCCTATTTTGGACTCCAGGGTTACAGATTCCAATAAAACACAGTTTTTAGTATCCATGTTCACAATTTAAAAAAAATTAACAAGACTGCATCAAAATGAATTCTCTGTTAGGGTTCCAAAGCAAGGATAGATGATGACCAACAAAAACACAAAGACTACCTCACATTTTACAAAGAAAGAGAGGAAAAAGTGAGTTGTTGTTCCCATGTAGATGTAATTAACCATATCTGGACCATACAGTTCTCCTCTAAACCAGAGGGGGCAGCAGCGAGGCCATCATGATGAATCTTCTTCTTTGACATTTTAGAGTTATTGGATTAACCAAGAACTGACAACAAAAATACAGAAAAGGATTATTCACAATAATATAATACAAATAAGGAGGACTACATGAAAATTCTTGCTCTTTTATAAGCCAGTTTTATAGGTGATTGTCTCCAAGTCATCTAGTAGTCTTCTATGAAATTAAAGATAAAGAACAACTACTGAAGTCATTTAATATATATATATATATATATATATATATATATATATATTATGTAGAACTATGAATTCAATTTAAACATACCAATGTTTGCTTATGTTTGTAACTTTATTAGCAAGGGCCTCATTCAAATTTGGTCCGTCTTTAGTTATTTATTCAGAAAATAGAGATGTTGTTCTTGTTTATTTTCAGTTTTGGTTTTACTGTTTACCTTTTACTTTACTTTTTGTTTTTGTCCCCCCTTGAATGCCCAATTGGTTTCTGCCTGGTCACCCTTTTTTCTGGAAAACTTTCTATATTATGGTTTCCATGGATCATCAAAAACATTAAAAGTCATTAAATTATATATATTTTTTAAATTAAGGCCTTAATTAGCAGTAAAATTCATTATTGTGATTATCGTGGCATTTAAAATGCTTCATTTAAAAAAAAAAAATTTCTTAAAGCAATTTCATCAGGTATATTATATTGCGATATATTTGTGCGGAAATGCTTCCGGTTGATTGTAAAGTCGTCAATCGGAAAAGAAGCTTGAGGGAGAGAAAAAGCTAGAGAATGGAAAAATGCAAATTTCAACAAAAGTGGCGAGGAATTCGGGACATGGCTGCAGCCTGTCGACGGTAAAGATGACGAAGGATTTCACAGTGTTATATATTTTTATATATATATATATATATATATATATATATATATATATATATATATATATATATATATATATACTTGTTGATGGCATTACAATTATTTCTAAGAGCATTAAAAGAGCATTAAAAAGCATTATATTAGAGTTACTCATTCCTGTATAAACCCTGCAATGTTTTCCAAGATATATAATTTTGATGGGAAGTGCTAATGGTTATTTTAAAAGCATATAAAAATAGTTAAAGAAAGGCCAGAATGTTGAATTCAGGCCCGGTGATGTTTGACCCTGTTAGATAACCTTACTAGATCCTAAGTCAATTTGGACCCTTTGAATATATTCCTGTGGTCTGATCTCTTCTAACTACTCTTTCTGCAACATGTCTGCAGGCTGTGTGAGTCGGTTCCCATGCTGTCAGGTCAGCGAGGATGTAGGATGGTTCAAGAGCTGGTGGACGCTCAGAAAAACCTGCTTTATCATCGTGGAGCACAACTGGTTTGAGTCCTTCATCATATTTATGATCCTGCTCAGCAGTGGAGCGTTGGTGAGTCGGGGGCCTTTTCTTTTTTTTCTGGCAGATATTATACATATATGTAAAACGTGTTTTAGATCTAGATGGAATTACTCAGATAGCTTTTGTTTCATCAACTTTTTCTGTTCAGGCGTTTGAAGACATTTACATCGAGCAGCGGCGGACCATCAAAACAGTCCTGGAATATGCAGACAAGGTCTTCACTTATATCTTCATCCTGGAAATGCTGCTTAAGTGGGTGGCGTACGGCTTTGTTAAGTACTTCACCAACGCTTGGTGCTGGCTCGACTTCCTCATAGTCGACGTAAGTATTGTAGAAGCAGTTTTATTGTCTTATGTCAGATCAGAATCCGAAATCAGAATCAGAATGTATCCTACAACATGGCCATATACTTACTTAGCAACAAAACAGTACATCTTGAAGTTCAATTATGAGTCTTAGCAATAATAAAGTCTCTAATGCTGTAGAATATAAATATCTGGCTGGCTTGCCAAATATGGAAGCAGTTCTTACTGGCTGACTCGCACGCAATCAGGTCATGAGCTAAGAGATTTCCAGGAAGAGTGTCCAGTCGTGCACGTGCATCCACACAGTGCGATGTGGAAACTATAAAGGCTGGTTCAGATGGACTGAAGGTTGGGGGGATAACAGGATTTTTGACGACGTGTTGCTGGATGTATGAAGTGTTTAAGACAGCTGTATGAATTCTGTTTTGTAATTAAATGTGTCCCCCCCTCCGGATGATAGATGGTGTGAATCGTGGCCTTCTTTCTGTCATAAGGGAATTCTACCAATGAGCTTCCATAGTATACCACGAGAATAGAGTCTGTTGGCTTAAGAAGATGCTAGCAATGCTTTTCTCACACTGTTCCACCATTAAAGCTTGGTGCTCAGCAGAACTGGTACGGATCTCCTCATCACTTTAATTAAAGAATCGTCCGTTAAAAGAAATTAATAAGTAAAACAATCTATTCTTAAAAAAATATATTCCCTTGTATGTGGTGAAATCATTTATAGATGTTTTATTTTCAGTTTTATTTTAAACCCTTTTTAACTCAAATTTTGATGGAAGGCTGATTCAGCATTTTTTTCAAACATCTACCCTGATGTGGCTCACCTGATGTTCTCACCCTGTATGTCTGTGACATGATCTTCTCCCAGGTGTCCTTGGTTAGCCTCGTAGCGAATGCTCTGGGCTACTCTGAGCTCAGCGCCATCAAAACTCTGAGGACACTGCGAGCCCTACGGCCCCTGAGGGCCCTGTCTCGGTTTGAGGGCATGAGGGTAAGAACAGCAGGGATAACAGCGGCACAGAATCAGATTCTTATGATGGTTATCGGTGGTTGAATCGGTTTTGTATTTAAACTTTTTGTATTTATGTTTGATATTAATTTGCTTTTAAGCTAAATGTGGTTGCTACAGTGTTAAGGTGGGCTGAATCAAATAAATTAGGCAGAAAATGGCTCGTAATAGATATAAACTGGAGCTTAAGAGGCTCTGGGTCAATTTGCCCTTTTGCCAATTTTTATCCTGCATTGGCATCTCTTCCCTTCCAGCTTCAGTTAAACACTAAAAAACCTTTTCATCCAATGTATATACAACATTTTATGTCAGTTTATTCCTCTGGGTGGTTAGATGTTTATCCTGAAGCATGTTGAATAACTTTAACTTGTTATTTAAGTGTTTAAATGCAAATGTAGATGTTTTTAGTGCTTATGATTTAATACAGCTGCTGGTTAATTTCTTTAAGGCTATGTATGTCAAACTACAGGCTTTTAATGGGTTTTAGAGAAACCCAAAAGATTAAAGGAGAAGGTAACAAAATGACATCCACCTTAAGATGGCATTTGGTGTGAGCTGAACTGGAATCAGCTAAACTGAAATAAGTTAAACGAATGTGGTCATAGGTTAGCTTAAACTGTAAAACCGATTAAAGAAACAGGAGGTTCATCTAAAATTAAAAAATGTGGTTTAGTAAGTTTAAGGATTACCTTTTTTATGTTAAAGGTATAGTGGAGGATGTTCTTTTTCTGGGTGAATCATCAAAACAAGTGGTTCTCCTGATTGTCAGTCACTCTGGTGATATTCTCAACCCCATTTTCACTTACCGTTGGGGAGTCTGACATGTTGGGGGAAAAAAAAGCTGATCTTATTTTGAAAAGTAAGCTTGTATGAACGATGCAACTTTTAAACAGAGCGCACACAAGGAGAAATGGGGTCGTGCATGCTCTCGCAAGAGTTTAATAGGCGTTCTCTCTTGGGAGTGGGTACAGGGTTGTGCATTTGCATTTTTTTTTTTATTGGAGAGGGCAGGTCTTTTCAAAATTTTGCAAAAATCCTTCACTACACCTTTAAAGTAATAGAGAAGTCATATTTAAATTCCAAATCATTCTGGCTTAAATGTGTATATAAATGTACTCTTTACCAAAATATATTGTCCCAAAAGTTAGAAAGTTTCCATTTTAAAAAAATCCTGTTTTAAAATCTGTGTTTTTTTCCGTTATTTCATGGAGGCCAGTTAGTTATACGTCAGCTTGTACACCTAAATTCGGCCAATCATATATCAATGGTCATCTGTCAATCAAATTTTTTTGGTCATAGCATCTTGAGTCATATTTCGCGGCTATTATACGCAACGGTTGAAATAAGGAATAAGAATCATTTCCTCTCGCATTGAGTTCCGTCCCAGTGTTTACGGGGATGGGCGTCTGTGTCTTCAGCAGGCGTAGAGCTAACAGAACTGGCAGCGTTGCGAGGCAAGGGCTCAAACATGTACGGCTGTAAGCCTTCTACACCAAACCAAGCTTCTGCCGCCCTGACAAACTCTTCCACAACATCTTTGTCCCCACTTTCCTCCTCTAAATAAAAAATGTATGATGGAGGAGACTCATCCACGACCTCCGACACTAAACTCTCCTCCTCAGCGTCGTCGCTAAGTGCTACTGGGTCCCAATGTAATTTACCTTTGGGAACATACTAGCACTAAGTTGCTAACTGGTTAGCAAGATCTTTCCGAGACACCGGCTACAGCTTACGAACCTTCCGCCACAATAATCCCGCCCCCTTGATAATCGACCAATCACATTCATTTTATTCACTCGTGTAAAGTCAGGCACCACTCGGGAGAATTCGGAAATGCAACCGTTGGAACAGCCGCTTCCCTAAGACTTTAAAAGTTTCTTGCTAGCTATGCTAACTTGCAAGGCTAAAGTTACCTAGATTTAGTATCATGTTTGTTTTCATTTTTTTTTTTTTACTGACTTTCAATAACAAACAATGTGAAACATCTTAAACAGAAACATCTTAGATCATTTTTCAAGAGGATAGAGGATAAAACTCAGAAAGGATCATCCTCCATGGAATCTCTCAGATTAGCTGTTAGCCTCAAACGCTCTGAGGATTTACTTTTCTGCAAAATGTTCTTTGCTATGTAGCCTTAAAAGTATTTTCAACCCATCAACCTGTTTGCCAGGCTGCTTTTTGCCGTTTTTTTTTTAATTAGCTCACCATTCTCTCACTAAAAGGGCATTTTTATCACATCTTTCTGTCTCCATGTCATAAAGCTTTAGATGTAATTTCTTAGCACTGCTTGTCATTTGCAAAATGTTGTGCCAAAGGGATAACGACACTGTATGATTCCTGTTCTCATTCTCATAATTTGATCTCAGTTGTGGCATCTTGTTTTCCAGACAGAGTGTTTTTAAATGGCTGGTTAGGGCTCCTGCCTGTAAGACTGCATGCTTACTTGCCACTTCTGCAAACACATCCTTTCCTTGCGATTTCAACGCTGTTCTGCTGTATGCATGACCTGCTTCACTCTTTGTGTCATTAGGTTACAGTTTATTGCCTTTCTCAGACTTTGTTTTCTGATGTTGCTTGCATTGTGCCTTTAACCTGTATTTTTTTCTTTGTTGTGTGTCTTTGTTTCATTTACAGTCAAACAAAATGTTGTGACTTCATCCTGCCTCTCTAAGGTTTTTTCTGTTTTGCTTTTTTTATCTATGAAACGTTAACTTTTTCACCTATTCACCTTCTTTGTTCAAATTATCACCTATAATTTCTCTGTAAATGTCTGGGTTTAAGTTTTTTTTTATGTCTACTTAATATAGGAAAAATATATCTTACAGTAATTCTTAAAATAATTTGTGTGATTTATCTTTGGCTTGTTTAAATCAGCCAGCTAATTGAATAACTTTGAGCAAATATTATAAAATTTTAACAGTAGACTCCAGTTTTATTTGACCCTTAGGCTAAATTGGGCTTTGTGCTTCAACATCTTTAGGTTGTGGTGAATGCTCTACTTGGTGCCATCCCTTCCATCATGAACGTGCTCCTGGTTTGCCTCATCTTCTGGCTTATCTTCAGCATCATGGGGGTCAACCTCTTTGCAGGGAAGTACTACCATTGCGTCAACACCACCAACGATGAGCTCTTCCCAATCAGCATCGTCAACAACAAGACGGAGTGCTTGAACTTGGTTAACAATAGCGCCCGCTGGAGGAATGTCAAAATCAACTTTGACAATGTGGGCGCCGGTTATCTGGCTCTGCTGCAAGTGGTACGTCTGGGCTGGGTCATGTGACGAATGCAAACCCAATGGGATCTGACCTTGTGCACGCATGTAGTTGATTCAAAAGCTGTTTGTTTAGATGCCTGCAAATTTATGCCAGTTTCCGTTCAGTATGAATGATCTTATTTTTATTATTTAGAACTTCAGAAAATATTTTCAGACCAATCTATGGTTAATTCATAAGTCCTGACATTTTATAAGGTTTCAATTTTAATGGACAGTATTCTGCATTTTACAGCTCTTTTGGGGAAAAAAAAATAGGTGGTAAAAATGCAAAAAAATAATTTAATTTGATCGGGAAAAAAAATTTCAAATAATAAAAAATGCTATTTTAAATTAAAGCTACAGTGTGTAATTTTCAGCGACATCTAGCGGTCAGACTGCAGACCGCAGCAACATGAACATCTCCCCCCCACCGCTTCTCCCCCCCAACAGTACGGCGAGCGTTACGAGACAAAATTTCTTCCACGACGTCCACATCACCTACCTTCTCAAGTGATGAGGTTTGTTTACATAGATAATTTTACAGATAGTATTTCATTAGTCTGAGTAGGGTATAGATTTCATGTAGACTTAAGATAATAAATATACCCGTTATTTTTTCTACATCGTTGTGACGTTTTGGTGAGCTGCTTTGCATGGTGATATAAACAGACGAAGTAATTGTAGTCATTAGTTTAACAGCGAGATTGTGTTCGCTGGAAGAATATATATTCCCCGTTTACAGAGTCTAAGTCATTTTGGTGGCACGGGGGTTACAACGCGAGGAAGAGGGAGAGGACGAGGGCGAGGGCAGGGAGGCCGTGCAGCTAGGGCCAGGCGAGAGAGGGGAGCCAGCGGGGTGAGAGCAGAGGAGGAAAGGCTTGAAGATCTCCAAAGGAGCTGGAGAGAAGTAACCGAGGTATATATCCAGAAAATCATTTTACAGAAAATTACTGAATCATTACCTATGAAACGTCAGGGACGTTGCTGAATAAGTATACTGGAGAGGAACAGCATCATCACGCCGCAGCATGTTATTGTTTTAGACAGGTCTGAGCATCCTGTACTCCAAAAACTGCAGTGATATTAGACAATTGTGTGTGTAGGATTAATTACCTGTCCAAGAGAAAACTGGCAACTTGAGCGTCACTTTGAAAACCTTTTTCCTCCATCAGTGACTTCCATCGTGTAAATGCCGTGCCAATGTTGATCCGTGTTTTTTGCCGTTTCTTGTCACGCTTGCGTTTATTCTCGTCGTGTTTCCGCTTCTTAGATGACGGGGGTTCGGTGTCCGCCGCTTTTCGTTGTGATACAGAGTAGGCATGATCCTCCATTCGTCTGATGTTTGGCCACACAGTGCCAAACAGTTTGCAAAGTCACTCACGCCTGCCGCCTTGTTCACCTTTCTTGTTACTGAGGCGCAGTATACCTGCTTCTTCTTCTTCTTCTTTGGTTTCAGGCAGACTAAACGCTTCTCAGGCATAATACTGCCATCTACTGTTCAGTACCGTCTCAGTTCATCTCTCTCAACTTGCCGTAGTTATTTTTGAGCGTCATGGGAGATCTCGCAATCGCTAGTTTGTTGCCTCTGCGCTGCCGTAGCGCAAAGATGTCAGCCTCCATGGCTGCGAGACCCGCTCCTATGTAATTATAAATAACGAATTCTAAGGCAACGCAAATATTATGGTTAAAAGGCTGAGCTCATAGGTGATGATAAATAACATAGTTATGTATAATATATTAAATTTCTGACTTTATATCCCTGTAATTATTACACACTGTAGCTTTAAATATAATCTATAGTAAAAATAAACAAAAATCTCTTCTTTGCCTTTTTAAAATATGCAGTGAAGTCTCTCCCTGACTAGAATAAACATTTCATCCCTTATCCCTCTAGTTCTCGTAACAGACCAGAAATCCTCAAGACTTCTCTTTTTCTTTGCACTTAGGCAACGTTTAAGGGTTGGATGGACATCATGTATGCTGCTGTGGACTCTCGTGATGTAAGTCTACCTTCTTATCAACTCAGTTGCATAAAGCGGAGGGTTTATTTTATGATATGCAACATGGTAACCCCTGCTATAATGTATAAAAACCTAGAAATGTAGGGTTGCCGAAATTCTACACTGAAAACGTGAGAAATCAAACTCTTAATTTCATTACCTTTTATTAATAAAAGGAAAGATCCCACTAATCAGCGTCCTAAAAATATTTGTGTGCCCATACAGTCTGTTTTTATTACTTTTCTAGTTGTTTTAAACATTTCAATATCTGCTCTAATTGTATCTTTGACCAAATTAGCTGAGCAATAAAGAACATATTTTTAACCTTTATTGCATGTTTTGTTATCTTTGTTATTTTTAATGTTGGCTAAAAGAGACAAGCCTCAATTTAAAGCCAAATTAATCCATCATGGAAATGTTTGTGTAATTATAGTAAATGATTCTTGTTGAATGTGTTATTTAGTGTGTTGCACTTTAAAAAAATATATATACAGATATTTTTAGCTTGGGTTTTTCCCCCAATGGTTAAATGTACTCGGATACATTTCTTTTACAATTATTCAGTGTATAGAAATCTGATTGTATCATATCCTAATGACTTTTGCTCATCCTTACAGCTACCAGTAAGAAAACATTTCTCCTATATTGATTTCTATTTTTTTTAAAAAGTAAATGATAGTTAAATCTTATGAGATTTATTTGCTCTTTGTTTCCTCACAGTTGGAAGAGCAGCCTGAATATGAAGTGAACCTGTATATGTACCTCTACTTTGTCATCTTCATCATCTTTGGCTCCTTCTTCACCCTTAATCTGTTTATTGGTGTCATCATCGACAACTTCAACCAGCAGAAGAAAAAGATAAGTTGCATTTCCTAAGAGTCACACCAGTTTTGGTTTTATTCTTGATTGCAGCAAAGAGTAAAATGGATGCACAGCAAACTTTATATGTTGGATTTTAAAATATTGAACTCCTTGAGAAAATCTCAGAGCGAAGTTTCTACCTTCTTTTGTTGTCAAACTATTTAGATTGCAGTAAACCGTAAGATCTCAAAGCACTCTGCATCTCGCCACCTCACAGCACATTTCAGTCCTATAGCAAAACTGTTTTGTTCCCAGAAATCCACTGCTGTTCCCGAAACAGCAGTATTTTAAAAAGCCTGGCATTTCTTACGTACCTACAGCGCTTGCTGTTATTAATGTTGACACAGCCGGCTTTCATTTTGCTCCGCGGTGTTTCCATTTTTGAAATGGAACACCAGCAGGTATCGGTGCTGCGTCACACAGGGCCGAACACAAGCTCTGCCGCCGCACGCAGCAGCCCAGAGCCCAAATTTAGCCCTGGCAGACTCACAGCTGTTCTCAAGAACGACACAAGCTAATGATCAGCTGCTGCACGGAGACGGACCCACAGCTGCCTAGGATCACCGAAGATGCATGAGTCACTGAGAAACCCCCCCGCCTGCTTCAAACTTGCAGTGCTAACTCCAAATATAGTCTAGCGTCATGTCTTTATGTTCAGTCAGGACCTAAGAAGGAGGACCTGCAAAAGCCATCTGATGGGAGAGGTGAAGAGAGGCTGTAAGCATAATTTAACCCACTCAGTCGGTGTTAGGATGCTTGTTCAGTGCTGAATGCAGACACACTCAGAGAGCAGCACTGAGGGAATGATGTCTGCCTTGTCCCTGAGACTGGGAGGAGCTGTAGTAATGGCTCACTCATGGCTTTGCTGAAATATTAGGTGCCAAATCATTTTTTTCTTTATATATTTCTTCTGTTTTTAGTCACATTTTAATGTTGCCAGTCATGAAGATCAGAGTCCTTAAATAGCTGAACTTAATACAGGATGATGTCATTCATTAATGGATGAAAGTTATCCACACAGCATGGACCTTTATGTATAAAATTAACTGTCCCTCTGTTTGCGACAGGTGGCAAACCAATGTTTCCTCTAGCCGTTGAGCGCAGTCTATATATATATATATATATATATATATATATATATATATATATATATATATATATATATATATAGTTTTCTGTATCATTTTGAATCTGTGTATAATTTGTTTTCCAACTCAAAACCAACAATGAAAATAGAAGAAACAATTGTTTTTTTCCCCCGAATGTTGTTACATAAGACCAGAAAAAAACAAAAAGCAGTTAGTTTTGCTTGCCATAGAATAAAGACATTTTAAAAAACAAATTAATAGGGAATACATTTATCTTATTTTTATTTCATCTTACAGCATCTCATTTTTATGACCTCTATCGCAAATGACCTCAGCCTGCTGGTCGCTGTATTTTCAAGCAGGCTGTTGAATAAATTAAATCATCTATTCTGGCGCACAATCTTATCTTCAATCCCGGTTTCAAATATCACCATCAAATCAGTTTTATAATAAAAATGAATTGAGTTAAGAAGTGTTTGTGGATAAAAATGTTTAGTAAAATTTGTCTGTCAAGATGCAGGACAGAAGGACCCAGTGTTCAATAGGGGTGTGCACAATAATCGTCATGATGATGCATTGTGATTGTAATTTTCGTGATCTACTGCATCGATTCTTGACGCCAAGTATCGATTATTAATTTAAAAAAATAAATAAATAAAATTGCATGAATGGTTGGCGAACATCAGCCAAAAACAAGTGCAATACAACTTCCAGTCCAGTAGATGTCGCTGCAAATGTGTTGACGCACGCTGCCTTGTGTCACAAGCATTTCCAGCCGTGGGATACTGTGCCTAGCCATTAAAAAACAAAACATGGAGGAGAAAATATTGCAATGCATCACAATAATTCAAGTATCGTGATGCATCGTGATAGAATCGCATCGTGGCCTGTGAATCGTGATTCAAATCGAATCGTGACTTCTTTGGCAATACCCACCCCTGGTGTTCAAGGCAAGACAGGCACTGGGATAACTCCAACCGTTTATTAAAAAAACAGAGCGGGCTGTGGATCCACGGTATCACTGGAAACTCTGGTTGGAGAAAAACACAGATTTGTGACAATGATAATCTGATAGAGGTTGATTAGCTATGTGAGTCACTAACCTGGTTCTGAGCCAGATCAGGGAAACAGATCAGAACAGGAAGGCTCAGAGGTGCAGGAGCCCAAAGCCAGGTCAGGGATACAGATGACAGGAACAGGCTGGTTCAGGGTTCCAGGAGTCCACAGAATGTTTAGTTGGGAGCAGGCAAGCACAGCAGATGAGAGGCAGAACAGGATCAGGAAATCAGAAACATTACGGAACGCTCAAAACCGCTCTCTTCACTGGCCACCGAGAATGAGAACAAGAGCAATAATCTGGCTCCGATGGCTGGGACAGAGACGTATAAATAGAAGCAGGAGCAGTTGGATTAGATGAGCGGTAATGAGCAACCGCGCAGAGTTAGACAGGTGAATAGAGTGAGCAATTAGACCAGCCGTCAGTGCCAAGATCATGACAGTGTCCTTTAGTAAGGGTTCAGCAAATGTCCCTATTCAGCACATCAAAGAGCACTACAGATGCATAAATAAATAATCCAACAGGAAGAAGAGGTTGCGGCCGCCCCAAATTATTTATCTGTCTAGACTTCCAGAGCAATGAGAGTCACTATCCTACATGCATTCGGCTGAAGACGCACCTGTTCTCCAAGTAGCACGATGCTCTGTGTTAATTTTTTATTTTTGCTAAATTCTAGTGACATGATAAAGTGAAAACATAAATTGGTCAATCTGCACATTGTCAGATATGGTGGCTGCAGCAATTAGATGTAAGGAGATAAAGGAGATTTCTGTACTTGTGGATATTTGTGCTACATTTCAAGCATCCAGTGCTAATTATTGTTTTAATTTAATGAATCATGAAAACAGACTTAGAAGCATATCTGGAAAACCATTGGAGAGTGAAGGACAGGCGTGAAAAAAAGATCACATTTAAGTCAGTTTTGTGAAAACAGATTTTTTGTCCAGATTTTTTATTTATTTATGGATATTAATCATGATATTTTTACTATTTTATTATGTGTGTTAGAAGTAATGCGAACAAACTGTGATTTAAAAATTAACAGACAAAGAGTTAATGGAATTTCTTAACTATCACAAGATTCAACACTAATTTCATTGTGCAAAAGGAGAATGGTTTAATGGGAACAAAACGTTTTGTCTGAAAGGTCTCATTTCCTCCAGAGCAGGACTCTTACATATAGCATGTATCTAAAATTTAGTGGCTTTTAAAATTTTAAGTGGGTCAAATCACTTTAATTAAAAGTAAAATTCATGCTGTAATCACGCATTCTTTTAATAAACCATGTAACTTGCTATGATCCCAGGTTTACAATAAGCTTAATATTGGTGTGTATCACAGTGGTCTTCATTGTTCTCAGGGGGCTTGTGCAGACATATGAACATTTAGATGGAACATTGTTTGCAAAATATCTTTTACTTATGGAGTAAAAGATAAAGGTTTAAAGGCAGTTGCATTATAGTCATGCCCAGGTATCTGAATTATATTTAGGTGAGGACTTTGAAGTGGTGGCCTGGTATTTAGAGAGAGGGGTATTTTCATCTCACAGAGGCCATAAAGGTCGGCGTTTAGAAACCAGATTTTTACTCTGGGTCTCTGAGCCCGACCTTTAACCCCAAATTGCTCCCCTTTTGCAACTCAGGGTGGCAGCACATAGCTCCCCAAAGGCTGGGTTAGGCGGAGAAGACGTTTCCCCTCTGGGAATATAAAGGGTTCGTTCCTTTCCTTTTTTTAACCCTTCAGAGGTCCTCGCTCCTCTTTCAGTTGTGCTTTAGATGATTGACCTTCTGCATCACCCACCTTTTATTTTTCTATATATAAAAAATGGGTGATTACAATAACTAGAGCAAGCTGTCAAATTTCTGATGCAGCTAAATATCAAACTTCCATAACCAAAGCAATTAAGGCCTGTAGATCTGACCTCCCGTACGAGTCCTCCATGTGCTTTTGGACAGATTTTGGTTTGCTTACCACTGCTGAGAACTTTCTCCACTGTTCCGCTTTTTTTAATTTTGTTAATTTGGGCTCTCACTGTAGGTCACAGTCCAAAAGCCTTAAATATTAGATGTAATTTCATCTTGGAATATGCTGCTTTTAATACAAATAAATCCTAATGTTTTAGTAATTAGGAGTTGCCAGTGTGGTCTCCTTCACATCCACTTTGTGAATCTCACCCTAAAAGCGCGGTATTACCTTCATACAGACATTTCTGAAATATTCATGCTGCATTTAATTATTCATACATTTTTGCTGCTTGGCAAGATGCAGACGTGGCTCTGAGTTAGATACTAACACTAAGCTTATGGGGAGCTTATTGTCTCAACTGTCTTCGAAAACATGAATTGTTTATTTTAGAGTAATTCTGATGATGTAGGAATGTTATGGACTTAATTTTTTGAATAAGGACCAATCAGCCATAGTAATTCAACCACTGAGGGCAACCAGGCCTGTGCTGGTGCAAGCAGATGAGGAGGCACATGCATGAAACACCTAGATCCTAAGCCTATAACCCTTTAGCATTGAAAACTTTTGGAAACATATTTCTTAGTTGGCTATTTGGCTCTATTCAGTAAATGTTATGGTAAGCACTGAATTAATTATTATATTCAGACATAAACATGAAATTAAAATCTCAATGTTTAGGATTTAAATAAAAGATGCACACTTTTAATTCATGCAGAATCTCTAAAATGTGTTGCGCCATTTAAAATGCTTGTTTATATATTCATATTCTGGATATGAGACAAATATTAACCCAAGTCCTCTGAAATATGAGTTTGGTTTATTTAAGATTATTATTCTACATAACAGGCATAAACTTATGGATCCATATACATATATAACTTTTTGGGAAAATAGCTTTATTCTATATTTATCTGACAACTGATTATCCTAAATATTTAGCAGCACAAACTAAAATATAATCCTAACTGTGAAATGCCGTTATTAAACTTTGTAAAGTCTGATTATTCTGCCTTTGGTCTCATCACAATTATTCGGTGAAAAAAGAAAATTTCTTTTTATCCTTAAAAACAGTCACATACTGTACTGACAGTAGTCTTCCACTAAAGGGATCAGAATTTATATTTGTTCTTATGAAAGCCAGCTTTAAAGGGTGGAGCGAAACCATACAATTCAAATCCACTGAGATTTTTTGTTGCATTTCTGATCTCACAGCTGAATTCAAACAGAAATGTTTTACTTCTAACTTCTTTAAGATGTTCAAAACAATGTAAGCAGAATAAGGAAACATTTGACTGTTATACTTTTAAATAGGTAAGAGGAAAAATTTCATTTTAGCGGTGATTTCCTCCTTTACTATGGTTCAAGTTTGTGCCCAAAAGGTAAATATGAGGAGGACCAAAACTGCAGAAGTACAAATTAGTCAACGGATAAAATTGAAAACCACCCACTTTATGGTGGTATTTGTTGGGAACTAGGGCTGAATAATTCACTGAATTAATGTGAAATACCCAATCTTAATAATAAAATTAAGAAAATACCAAAAATAACTACATTTCATTTAGCAAACTTAGGAACTGCAGACAGGAAATGTGCTAGGCTAAGTTTCCTGTTAGCATGCTAATGTTCCACCTATGCTAACTCGCCTAGCTTTAGCTTAAACGCTTCATGCTTGACCGAAATATGTCTTCTATTCCTATTTTAGGAATAACGGAACAAGAAGGAAGAGTTTTGACTTTTAAGTGAGGTTCTGTGAAGTTGTTTATTATAAATATAGGACTAAAACGCCATTAGGTTTCCTTTTAGCATAATTTAGCTATTTAAAACAACTCAAACATAATTGTATAGTTTCCTGGATACATTATCTAAACAGGTTTATGACAAAAAATAATTTATTTGATTATTGTGTTAACTATTGTTACTTATTATAAATAGTTGAAGCTACATGCTGCATATAGGCATCAAACTAGACCACGTCTCTTTCTACAGTGTATTAAATGCTAAAGGAGAATATCCTAATTATTAACCTATTTATATTAAGTTCACATCAACTTAAAAAAATATAATACCTGTTAATATTTAATTACATTAATGGTTATTCCTTTACTTTTCGATAAATCTATTGTTGCTTAAAATCTTTCCACTATCAGTAAGTATAAGTATAAATAATTATAACTTCATAGAATCTCACTTCCATACTTTATTATCCCATTAAGCAGGAAAAAATACTTTTTTCCCACCAAATAAATCACAAAAGATGTTAATTTAAACCTTTATGATCTTTGCTATTAATTTCAAATCACATCACAGAATGAGGTTAAAACCATTTTTTGTCTGTTTCTCCTTTACTTTGGAGGTCAAGACATCTTCATGACAGAAGAACAGAAGAAATACTACAATGCCATGAAGAAACTGGGTTCAAAGAAACCACAAAAACCCATTCCACGGCCAACCGTAAGCGCGTTCGCTCAGTTAGTATTTAATGATTGCCACAAAGGTATGAAAGACTAAAGTTTACTTTTTCTGTATCTTTCTCCTTTCAGAATGAATTTCAAGGCTTTGTGTTTGACTGTGTCACAAAGCAGGCGTTTGATATAGTAATCATGATCCTCATCTGCCTCAACATGGTGACTATGATGGTGGAGACGGATGACCAAACAAAGGAAATGGACAAAATCCTTTACCGGATCAACCTTGTCTTTATTGTGCTGTTCACTGGGGAGTGTGCGCTAAAGATGATCTCCCTTCGACACTTTTATTTCACTATCGGTTGGAACATATTTGACTTTGTGGTAGTGATTCTTTCGATTGTAGGTAAGGAAATCTCATGAATAATTTGACTATTTTGACTGATTTGTTTTTCAAAAAACTTGGATTATTCAGATTTTTTTTTTCTTCCTTTTGCAGGTATGTTTTTATCTGAAGTTATCGAGAAGTACTTTGTGTCCCCAACATTGTTCCGAGTGATCCGACTTGCCCGGATAGGCCGCATCCTTCGCCTTATAAAGGGTGCCAAGGGAATCCGGACTCTCCTCTTTGCCTTGATGATGTCACTCCCTGCCTTGTTCAACATCGGCCTTCTTCTTTTCCTGGTTATGTTTATCTATGCCATCTTCGCAATGTCCAACTTTGCGTATGTCAAGCGGGAGTCGGGGATCGACGACATGTTTAATTTCGAGACTTTCGGGAACAGTATGATCTGTTTGTTTCAGATTACAACATCAGCTGGGTGGGATGGTCTGTTGGCACCCATTCTGAATAAAAGAGAGCCAGACTGTGACAGCAAGATAGAGCACCCTGGGAACTACTACAAAGGCAACTGTGGTAACCCTTCAGTGGGCATCTTTTTCTTCGTCAGCTACATCATCATTTGCTTTCTGATTGTGGTCAACATGTACATTGCCGTCATCCTGGAGAACTTCAGTGTGGCCACAGAGGAAAGTGCCGAACCATTAAGTGAGGACGACTTTGAGATGTTCTACGAAGTATGGGAGCGCTTTGATCCTGATGCTACTCAGTTTGTGGAGTACAGCAAGCTCTCTGACTTTGCAGATGCTCTCGATCCGCCACTTCGCATTGCTAAACCCAATATGATCCAACTTATAGCTATGGACCTACCTATGGTGAGTGGCGAACGCATCCACTGCCTGGACATCCTGTTTGCTTTCACTAAGCGAGTGTTGGGTGAAGGTGGAGAGATGGACATGTTACGTGGACAGATGGAGGAGCGATTCATGGCCTCCAACCCTTCTAAAGTTTCCTATGAGCCAATTACTACCACATTGCGCCGCAAGCAGGAGGAAATGTCGGCCATAGTTATCCAGAGAGCCTTCCGGCGCTACATGATGCACCAGGCCATGAAAAAGGCCTCCGCTCTCTACAAGGAGAAGCTAAAGGAGGGCGTCCATGACCCTGACAAAGACGTGATGGTCATCAGCAAGTTCAATGAGAATTCCACCTCAGATAAAACAGACATGACTCCGTCCACCGCCTCCCCGCCCTCCTACAACAGTGTGACAAAGTCAGACAAAGACAAATATGAAAAAGAAAATAGGGAAAAGGAAAACAAAGGGAAAGACTTGAAAGACAGAAAAAAATAGACTTCAACAAATTGGAACAAACAATGCATTAGTAATGTGGGGGGAACTTGTTTACAGCTTCTAGAGGAGGTAGATTGACTTGTCAGTTGATTGTTCAGAGATGAGGAACGCCGAAAAATGGGAGCGCTGACGCAACAGAAACAAATAAGTGGGTTCTTCCCAGAGAGGGAAAACGAAAGCAAGATATCCAGCAGACACTGCCAGGGGTTGACTGGAACATAGCGCAGCCCTTCTGCAAACCGCTTGTGATTTTCCTTTTGGTTGTAGTTACTATCTGACAATTGAGTGTACTGTTAATTTGTCTGTAGCTCGTGCTGCTGCTACTTCTATAAATCCAGTGTCTTGAATTGAAAATTTGCCGTATCACTTAACAACTACATTTTCTTTTGTTTCGGTTCCTTTTTTTATTGAAAAAATAATGTTTTATACTATTTTGTGTATTTATTTTTCGAGAATGTCTCCGCTGCTTTCAGTCTTGTTCAATCACCAAGGGCAGAAAAAGTCGATGCTGGAAACTACAACCATCAGAAACTCGTACAGTGCAGGGTCCGCATCGAAATGCTTGCAGGTCATACAGCACGTGGAGCTGGAACATACCAATGAAGTGCAATGAATGACTCACTGGTGTCACATTGGTGATTGTTAAAATCGCTATCTACTGTCATGTTCCAGTTTCAGTAGAAAGCTCTGTCTCTAAAAACAGAGAAGCTGAATGTATGCAATCTGGAGGAAAAAAGACACAATTCAACAAAGTTGGGAAATATTCTTGGTTGCTTTTTTGCCAAGATTTCGATGACACAATTGGCACCACTCTCGTGCCTAGCTTAGACTCTAAAAGTTCTAGAGTCCTCATTTTCTAGGTAAGCTATGCCCAGGAGAGTTCCCATCTAGAGCCAGCCTAAAATCAGACTGTTGATCTGATCAGAGTGCCTGTTTTTAACCGCAATGTACAACTAAAGTCTTAACTGTCAGCCTACATGTCCTTCCTTAACAGTCCTCTGAGATATTCATACACTAAATGCATTTTTTCGTGTTTTTTTAATAGTTTGGACCCATTTCTTTATCTGGGTCATTCTAAACTCACTGCAATAATGGATTCTCTTCATCAGTCCCTCTGCTTTATAGGCACTGTATGTAAAACAGTTCAACTTCCACACCTCTCAGGTTGTCAGTGCTGAATGTTAAACACTCCTTATCATCAGTGTAGCGCTTTCTGTTGTGAAGAGAAAGGAAAATGGCCGCCAACCTATGAAAGTACTGCTCGCTAGTTACCTACTTAGCTAGCTTGCTAGCTACCAGATTGAAGCACTGTGTTGTGTCGTATTCCTGTTCCAGATTGTTGTTACAATCAAAAACTTTTGTCGAGTACTTTGCTCGACCGCTCGGGAATATATTTCAGTAAGTTGCAGGTCTCTAATAACCGTTGCTATTTGATTAGCATAGGGACAGATCTTATTGTTTATATTAACACTGAAACAAAATATTAAAAAGAAAAGATTATTTATTAGAGTCATGTATTTATAGTTCATTGCAATAGGGAGGAAATATACAATAGAAGGAAGATACAAAACATTGTGTCACAACCCGATCCGTCCTGCGCATGCGCATCCAGATATACAACCGGGTCGCCCTTGATTTTATTTTAATAAACAGACCTAAATAATGTTTTTCCCTCCCTAAAAATAGTAAGTGTACTAAACTATAATGTGTTAAAGGTTAGTAATGTATTTCCTGAGATTAAAAAAATGCCTTAAAATCCTTTCTGTTTTATCAGTCGTCTCTGCCCGATCTGCACCGCTTCTTCTAGGAGCTAACTTTTTCGGCTTTGGATTTTAAAACAAATCTGTTATTTTTTAATTTTATGTTTTCCTTTCATGTTAACATTATGGCATATAGTGTGTAATTTAAATAAAGAAACAACTAAAATGCAGTTAAACATCATATTTGGCCGGACTGCTCTGAGCATGTCCCAAGATGACGTCAGAGAACCTGTTTAAAGAAAGAAAATGTTAAAAGCATCAAAATTGTCTCACAAAAGTCATAAAACATTTTTTAAAGATGTGTATTAGCATTCTTTAGTGAGTAAAGGTAAAGTAATTTTAGTATCATAATTACATAATTTATTGACACCTGGATGTATATCTGTTTGTGCAGGACGGGTCGGGTAGTGACATCCCGCTGGTGGGTATCCTTTTATGCTAGTTCTGACTGAAACGCCCTGCAGTTGGTGGCAAAAAAAACGCCCAAAAATAAAAAAAATAATATAAGGAATTGAAATCGGCACCTGAAACAGCTGAGATGTATTTTCTTATGGCTGACATAGGAAAGATGTTATCTCGGTCAATTGTTAGTCCCTTCTTCCATTCTATTACCTTAGAAAATGTGCTCATTTATTGATTAGTTACTTTAAATAATATTAAATTTAAAGAATCATACTATTAAAATTTTACTCCTACTTTATTTAAGGTACATCCTACTTTCAAAAGCTTTTGTATCACCATTGAATTACTGATTTTAAAGCTCTCTTATAAAATATAATTTATGACCTGCGATCAGACCAAAACATTCATCAGTGATCTCCTGATTTTCCTTCACTAGATTATAAGTAAATTATAGAAATGTCCTTCAAGTTGTTATGAAGCGTACCCCTGGCGGGTAAGGATTACCACATGGTCAGCTCCTTTATGACTGCATTTCATACTTTATAAAGTTGGGTGCAAAATGGTAAATAGGTTAAATAATCACCACCTAAGGAAGCTTAGATCCCTTTTTCTGGGCCAGAACTTTTCATTAAAGGATGGTGTCTTCCTAATTTCGTTTGCACATTTTGCTAACAGAGATCTGGCTTTTGTACCATCTCATATGTTGGCAAAAGATATTCAAAAATAGACCTCTAAGCAATAGGTGGCTTGGCTGGCACAACTTGTACCAGATAAATCGACCAGGCATTGACAGATAATAGTAGATATATTTAAAGTAGAAGGTGTTTCTCTTTTCTTTGCTACAAAAAGTCCACTGTGTGCCATTGCAGGAGTGGTATTAATATCCTCATCCATCTCTTGGCAGCAAAGATAAGTGAATTTCCCAAAAATCTGTGTTTTAAGGCGACACTCCGGCCTGCGTGTTCACCTGCCGTCATGTTGCATTCACTGTGCTCCCTTTTATCCTCCGTGCCCCGTCCCCTCCACATCCCACGGAGCTCCTGTAAACAAAATGTCTTTAAAATAACGAACTATAAGAAGAAAATGTCAGTCTTTCTACCTGCTTTTAAGCTAGAACATGACAATATATCACATATAAAAGCTGTAATATCACAAATGTTTGTATGCCATTCATGTTTAAATTGAGAAGCGAGTGGTTTTAATGTAGTGGTTTGGTTTGTAAATAATATAGCTATTTGGGCCCACAGTATGCATCACACTTACATTTGATGTAAGAGCACTTTTTATCCCCACGGCTATGTCATTCCTCGTGTGGCTGTCATACATGTGTCTGTGTCGGTGTCTGGGCGAGACTGAGAGAATGTCACCCTCCATCTTCTTATTTGAGCAAGTGTGTGTGCGTGCAACTGGGCTCTGCAGGTTGCTTCTGTTCTGCCAATTATAAATAACAACTTAAATGTAGATATGAGTGCATTTTTGGTAAATCTTCACATTTGATTTCTGATTATTTTATTTTTTTACAAAAAATTGTTTTTTTTTTTTCCTTTTCTGTACTGTAACACCTGATGAAACACATGTATGGTCCTCAGATCTGTAGATAGCCACGAAGCAATCAGTAGCCATCTCTCATTGCGCTTGTAGTGTTTAAGTGAACTGCATGCAGGAAGTGACCACTGTCCGCTCATTTATCATTTTCAAGCCAAAAGAATAAAGAACATTTTTTTTGTAAATGCTTGTTTATTTTTAATAATTTTTTTTTGCTTTCCAGGCTCTAACTTTATTTTATTTTTTTACTCCTCCTGTTCGTGTTTGTCTACGTCGACTTCCTGGTGTGTGATGAATTATGATTGCTTTAGAGGTCAGTCAGGATCATTCATGTGATTCCATCTCATGTTACACCTATCTATCGATTTGCAAAATGTGACAATTGACTTTTTTTTTTTGTTATAACCAAAGATGTGGCAACAAAACACAAAATCTAGATTTCCAAAATAAAATCTGTTTTGGAAAGCATATTTTGGATGCCAGATGCATTGATTTGATGACAACAGCTGTGATGGAGAGAGGTAAGAAGTCTTTTTACTTTCATTTTGTGATAATGAAACTTAAAGGCATACCGTGGCCTTTGTGACCTGAAAAGTTAACACATATGGGTTATTTTAAATGATTCCTCAGGCCAATATACAGCACTTGACACTATCAATGCCATGAGCGGTGCTTCCCTCTTGAAATCACGACTTTGTAAGTTTGGAGGAGATGCACCTTCATTGGCCAGCTCATGTGACCTAGAAGAACTGCCACAGGCTCTTATATCATCATGGAGCTAAGGCTTTTGCTCTACTATTTTTCCGCCTTCTCGACACCTGGTCATGACTGAGGCAAAAAAAAAAAGTTTAAACCTTCTGAGGAGGCTAAAGAGAAAACTTGAAAGGGATTGAGCGCAAGGAAAACCAAGAGTCCATCTTGAAAAGGACTTTGGTCATCAGTGCAAGCTGAAAGTAGAAGTCGGATGTAAAACTGCTTTTCTTTTCTCAACTTTATTTTTAGTCTGGTAGGTTAACACTTTGCTCCTAGTATATAGTCGTATATCTTTATTTTTATTTTCAATGTTAAGTAGAAGCAAACTATGGCAGTTACAGGTTTAATGCCCCTAGTGGCCAAAAGTCTATAGGGTATGTGGTACTGGTCTAACCTGACTCCGCCAGATGGATTTGCTCCGCATATCCATCTGGAAACCTTCCGTTAAAGTAATTTTGGGAAGGGGCGAAAATACTGGTTAGCTGATTGGTCTATGTTGGTGATAGACGGGCCAAATAAACCAATCAGATCAACAAAGCATATGACGTACTAACAGAGCGCCGACGAAGAGGAGCCAATTGATAGATCAAACTCTTGCCGAAACCAGTCGGGAGAAGAGCAAAAACATCTTTTCCTCTGAGAAAAGCCTCCAGAGCAGTGTTTTGCTCTTCTTTCAGTAAAGAAATTCTGTTTAATTCCGATAAAACTTGCTCGATAGCCACGCTAACGCTAGTTTCATCGGCTGAAGCCTCCATGTTCGTTAGACTGAACTGTCGCGCTTCTCGTTGCGTCACACCTCAACCCGCCTCAAAGCCAACGCTGATTGGATGTTCGTTTGGTGAACGGCTCCAAATTTTCTTTAATGGAGAGTCTCCAGACTGATTTGCGAGTGAAACCTTGAAAGCTCGCGAGATCAGGATGGTCTCACGAGGCTAGCACTGGTCCTTAAGGTCTCTGAATAGGGTGTGTAGCATTGGTTTTCAACCGGTTTTCTTTCTTTTATGGTACGATCATGAATATTTAGATGAGCTGTGTGCTGATTGGTTGGTTTACAACGAGCGAAGCTGCTGAGCAAAGACGCATAATAGCAACAAGCACTCACTCTCTGAAAAATCAAATTGTTGATATGGTAGGGTGACCAGACGTCCCCTTTTTCCAGGACATGTCCTACTTTTCATGCCTAAAACAATGTCCAGGGGGAAATTTCAAAATTGCCGGGATTTTGGTCGATTACAGTGCATCACATCGTCAAAACACACCAGTAATTTGAAACAAGCTCTGAGCTCCAGGGGCAGGGTGCCAGCGGGGGACGGAGCAACCGAACCCGACCCGGTGACGTTAGCCTGGACAACGGCGGCCCCGTGCTTCCCCTCGCCTGCCTCACCGGGCTGGCTCTGGAGCTGATCCCTCGGGTTGAATGCAGTCAGCCGCACCGGGCTGAGGAGTTTGCTCCTTTTCAGAAACCCAAATCTGGTCACCATAGATGCTAGCATTGCTATCAACAGTTTAGCCACAAAATAGTACTTCCAGCTTGCGGTTGTGATGGCCTTATGGTTTCAGCCCCTCGTCCTTTTAGCAAAAGAAGTTTGGCAAATCCTGCTTTGAACTGTCCAACATTTTGAAAGCTGTCTTGGGTAAAATGCTTAGAGCAAATGAACAGCTGAGCATCGAACTTTGCAGGGTTCTTCTGATACACAAAAATAATCCATGCCTGTTGAGTCTTCAGATCCTTTGGAGGACTGAAAATGTTCTGCTTTCTCTGTGCAGCCTGGAACACTGCATTTCCACCCTTGGTTCTGGCTCATTTTCAATAAACTGCCTGCTTTGTAATTGTTGTAGAAGTAAACCCAACTGTAGGCTAAACAGCTAAGCTGGTGTCTTAAATTTACCTCTATTCATGTTCTTGGGCTAGTGAACCAGTGGGCTGGTCTGTATGTCAATTTCGGGGCGTAACAAAAGTACAGGCAAGAACCAAATAAGGCAACATCCCCGAGTTTATGTCAACTCGGTGCTTCGTTTGAATTCGCCCGTTTTATGCTGGAAGTTTGGAATATTGAGATCTGCAGAGAAAGGAGGTGTTGATGATAGGGTTTGAACTTCTCTGTACGTCCAATTCACCCACTGAACTATCGTTATTCATATATCATCGCTATAAACTTTTTTTTTACGTGAACCTCTGTTGAATTCAGTACCAGACTTAATTTTATACAGTTACCCTCTTTCAAAGGGGTTTATCTTTAGCTTCATCCATCTTGGGATCTTTGATCATCCTTCCCCCGCTGAAGAAGCCCACAACATGATGCTGCCACCACCAACTTTCTCACAGAACAGCTTTATTTATCTTATGAATTACACCCATATAGGCTCTTTACTAATTAGATTTATTTAATGGCAAATGTGTAGCAGGGGCTGAAATCAAATGTAAACCAGCTTCCAGATTTTTTTTTACAATATAACAAATAGTCAT